GGGNGGGGGGGGGGTGGGTGGGGTGTTGCGGGAGCGGGAGAGAACGCAAGACGACCGGATGTCATCGGACGCCGTGCTCGAGGTGACGAAGTACTTTCGGAGCAAAGCCACAAGACGGAAAAGGGGTGTGGTCAGCTGGCCGGCAGGGGAAAAAAAGGTTTGAACGAATGGAGAGCGGCGCCCCAACCGCTGCCAGTCCGTTTTCGTCTGTGCCTGCAGACCGAGAGGCTCTGGCCGCTGACCCGAGAGGGCAGCCAGCCAGCCCCACGTCTCCGCTCCCAAAAAATGGAGGCGCCCCACCCGTCTTTCCCTTCGATGTTCCCGTCGTCGGTGCCCTCCCAAGTCGCGGTCAACGACAGCCCAGGACGTCGATATTGTAGACCTGGGGCTCACCGACTCTGACGCCTTGCAAAGTCAGTTTTAGCGGTGGTGGCCTGATGCCGAAGTTGACTTCCTGTCCCAACACAGCATGGATGCGCCAGAAGCCGAAATCTGAAATGTCAGGTCCGAAATCGCAACCCATGAAGAAACTCGCAATCTGGGCTCACTACCCGGTTCTTTCCGAGCCCGACTACTGCGCACATATGGCCGTGCGGCCAGAGTATTTTGGGCTGACCGAAACACTGTGCATGACAGGTACATGCGAGCATCCTCCAGGCCGTGTGCAACAGCAGCAGGTCTAATAATAATTGCTGGAACATGACGGGCTGAGACGGGGGAAAATTCCAGAGGGAGCCCAGATCTTTCCCCGCAGCAGCAGGGCTAGAACGACGAGGATGCAGCTGTCAGACCGGGGCTGCCACCACTACCCCGTTTGATGCCCGCTCGAAGATTCTACCCCAAGTAAAAAACAACCTGGATAGAAGCGATATGCATCACCATGGAAATTCCGGCAGGTATGTACCTTTAGATGCTGCCCACGATATAAGCAAACACACACGAGCGTAAGCACACTCCCGAGAACTCAAACTCTTGCTTCCCCTCGTTCCGGTATTTCCCGGGGCACAACGTGAAAAGATTCTTCCCTTCCCACTGCCCCCCTGGCAGAGGGGCTGAGACTTGCCGTTCCTGCCTGGGATTCCCTGCGGCGGCATGTGGCCCTGGTCGGCGGTGCCTTGGTTACGTAAATATTGTCCCAACTTGATCCTAGACAGTCCGTAGCGAGAATGGCGTCGTGCATGTGACGATGAAAAAAAAAATAAACTGCAAAAGAAAAAGGGGCAACCAAACAAAAAGACCAACGTAAACAGAAAATGATGAAACAGCACGGATATGAGCGGGATGAGGATGAAAAAAAAAAACGGAAACCATCATGCGTCCATCCTAACCAAGACCAACTACTTCGCTTCCTTACACCGCACTGCAGACCAGACGGAAAGCAGATAAAGCCAAACAAAACACGCCCCTCATTACGAGGCCCGGCGAGGGGGGCCCTTTCCTGCCCTGCCCCCTGGGCTAGCATCGGGCACGGACGCATGTGACGTGCAATTTTCGCTTTCCGAATTCCCGCTCTTTGAAAAAGTCTGGGTGCTTCCGATACGCGCCTCGCTGCATGGAAACAAAGAACGAACGGGGGAGCTGCGCAGGTCCGGGTGGCAGCAACACGAACATGTTGTTTTTTCTTCGCTCCAAACTTCCGTGTCCGCCAAGACAAGGCAGCCCAGCCCAGGTTTCCCGCGGGGCGGATTTTGGGGTCCCCACATTGGCGACTGGGGTTCCCAGAAAACGACCAAGAAGAAAGAAAATTTGCAGAAGAACGGCTACAAAATGTACGTACCTGTTACCCCACAACACCCGACTTTTCCCACTTCTGCGAGGACGCTACGGCCGTTTTTGCGTTTTTGCGTATGCGACATCTATCAAAACCAGACATCCAACATTCACCCCTCCCCCCTGGGCTACCATGTGCACGACGCACCGAGCCGAAGCAGCCGGGCGGGGGGTTTGGGGTGTCCTCATAGAGTACATACAAGCATGCACCCTAACCTTTTCCCTCCCCTTCGTTCCGACTTCTCCTTTCCCTGTTCCGGCATTTGCCGAACCTCGTGACCTTGAGCCGAACGCGGCAGATGCGAGGATCGTATCGCCCTCGCCGCCCCCAAATTACCCTTGCTCTTATTGCTTGTGTTGTTCCCGCTTGTTGGCTGAGAAGGCTGCCTCTTCTTCAAGAAAGCCGCCTCATGGGGGAACAACTACGGTGGTGGTTCCGAGCTCTGGGTCCTGATCTGCCGGCTTGCCGTTTCGACTCTCTTGATTCCTTTTATCCGCCCCCTTTGCTAATAATCCGTATCTTCCTACGGCTCATGCTTCCCTTGCCCCGTCTGCAGCTTTGCCTTCCGGGGTCTTCGTCATGTTCTTCAAATTTTGTTTATTGCTCTCCAGGTCCGGCTCTCCCATGGAAGCCTGCTTTCCCAGCCACTCTCGCAGTAGACATGCACATCGCTCCATCCGTATATCTTGTCCGAACCCGCCTATACCTTTTTGCCACTGGACCATGGTCAAACTGGGCGGTCTCTTTCGTACACACCCCAATTCTTCTTTTCCGACCCCTTGCTACCACCTAGGAGACCCAAGCACCAGGTCTACTACCATTTCTTTCCTTAAGCGGTTGCGCCGTCTACCCCAATGAGCTTCGTAATCTTGCCAATGGCAATTGTTTGACCCTAGTGATACCCGGAAGTGTCAGCAGTATGCATCAACTTGGCCCCGCGAAGAGGGAATCTAGTCCAAGTCTTACCTGATCTCGTAGGGTGAAACGACCCATCTGGGGGTAGTCTTCGAATTTTTCAACACAAACAGCGCCCGATGAGCCGGTGACCTGCATCCTTGCGATGATGCTGTCTCCCTTCTTCGCGTGCGAGGGCGGGACCTTGCTCTTCCTGTTCGTGCCCTTTTGTAGCTTGTGGAGAAGTGCTGCAAAGGTAACCTCCTCAATCGCTGCGTGAACGTGAAGCACACAGTTGTAGCCCGCCGTTAGGATAGACTTAAGATCCAGGATACGGATCTGCGCCTCGAACTCCGAGACCGTGTGTACAAGCCTCTTGGGCGAGCAGATGACGAATCCTGGCTGGATGTCTTCCTCCTCGATGCCTCGCAGGCGCATGCGCACTTGGTCGCCGCACTGCGCGATGGTAACCTCGTCTTCCGTCTCGCCATAAAGCGCCGAGACATCGACGGACTGCTTGTTCGGCATCATCATGAGGCTCATTCCCTTCTTGATCACACCCGCCTCGATCTTGCCTTCAATCATGGTGCCCATGTCACGGTACTTGCCCGACACTGCCATCATGAACGGAGCGTTGAGCTTACGCTCGAGCATCTGCATGTCGTCCAGATACTCCAGCAGCGAAGGCCCGTCGTACCAGGGCGCTACATCCTTGGGAATCCTGTCCTTGATACCCATAGTCTGCTGCGCAGCAATGGGCATGAAGAAAACGTCCGTCTTCAGGTTGTAGCCTGTCCCCTTCAAGAACTGCGCCAGCTTTGTGGTGCACTCCTTGTACCGATCGTGCGACCACTCGACCGTGGGATCGTCCATCTTGTTGATGGCGACCACCAGCTTGTTGACACCCTGCGTCTTGGCCAGCATGGCGTGTTCTCTGGTCTGCCCGCCCTTCTCGAATCCTGTCTCGTACTCGCCCTTGCGCGCACTGATGACCAGGATCCCAACGTCGGCTTGGGAGGCGCCGCCGATCATGCTTGGTACATACGTCTTGTGACCGGGGGCGTCGAGGATGCTGTATCGTCTCTTCTCCGTCTCAAAGAAGCCACGCCCAACCTCAACCGTCTTTCCTTTGGAACGCTCCTCGTTGGTAAGATCAAGAGCCCACGAGAGATACCATGTCTCTCGGCCGAGCTCCTTGGCCTCCCTCTTGTACTTGTCCATGGTCCTCTGGTCCACCATGCCCGTGACGTACAGGATCGATCCTCCCAGCGTCGATTTTCCGGCATCGACGTGACCGATGAAGATGATGTTGACGTGCTCCTTGCCGTAAATCTCCTTGAGGGTCTCATCATCGACATCTGCAGTTTGCTCCTTCTCGACGGCGTTGACATCACGGGCCGAGGACTTTGGCCCCCCGCGGGTCGGGCTCGAACGGCCAGACGACGGGGTCGGCGATGACTTTCCGCTCGCGCCGCTATCGGCCGGTCCGGTCTTCTCGATGGCCTTGGCCGCTGCAGCCTTGGAGCCCGATTCGGCTGCCGTGTCCTTCTTCGGCGCTTCCTTCGGCTCCTCCTTCGGCGCCTCCTTTGCCGCGGCCGGCGCGCCAATTGACAGGACCTTCGACTTGGGCTGCGGTGCATCGCCGCTAATGCTGAGAACCTTGGGGCCGCCTTCCTTTGTAGCCACGGGCTTGCTCAAGTCAGCCGCGGGTGCGGACGGGGCAGCCGCGGCAGCAGCGTCCGTGGGGCGTTTGACGATTGTTGGCGCGGCATTGGTTTGCTGCGTCTGCTGCTGACGCTGCTGCCCTTGTTGGTTCTGGAAGTTGCTGTCCTGGTCTGAAGGCCACTACATTAGCGCTCGAGCGGGCTTGTAGCTTCCGCCAGAAACCGAAACGTACTGTATCCCTGGTTGTTATAGCCGCCCTGTCCGTAGACGGCGCTGTAGCCTTGGCCGCCGCCATATTGGCCTTGTGGGTATGCTTGCTGGCTGCCATACGGCTGATTTCCATAGGCTTGGCTGCCATAGTATTGCTGTTGGCCGTACTGCTGCCCGTATTGCTGACCACCATAGAATGGTTGCTGCTGGTACTGGGCGTAGTTGGCGCCCCCGAAGGGTTGGCCGGGCTGGAAAGACTGTGCGCCGGGTGTGAAGGTGGAAGCGCCGGCCCTGAAGCCTCCCTGAGTTTGTTGGCCGCGGCCAAGGTTCATCTGCTGCTGCGTCTGCCTGGCGAGGTTCTCGTCCTGCTGTGCAGCGGGGTCATCCTCCCACGAGTTGAGGTCGGACATTGTGACAGAAATATGCCGGTGGTCGGCGGCAGAATGGGGCGTAGCGAACTGCGATGAAGGGGCTTGCGTCCGGGGAGGCCAGATACTACGGCTTGCTTCCGTTATGTAAAGCCTGGCGGCTTGGTCGGCGGGTTGTGAGTTGCTGCTTGGAGGTCACGGCCAGAAGTGGATATCGAGGGCGGTTAGCTTTTTTTGTCAGCCTCTCAGGCCCCACCCCCACTACGAAATGAGTGCTCAGGTGGGTGCCGTTCGTCCTTGCCTGTGTATAAAGTAACACAGGCAGAGACAGAAATGGCCGGGAACTGGTATGGCGAAGAATGACTCACTATGGACGGCCACTGGAAATCTTTGCTCAGGCAATTCTTATACTAACACTTGGTTTATTAGTGATCGAAGCTATAAGCACAGACAATCCGAGGACAAAGCCGATTAAAGCGTTGGGTGGTGGAGGCAAATCAAGGTGGGGATGTTCGTGCCCCGCCATTGACACAGGCAGGCAGGCAGGCACCAAGGCACCAAGGCAAGGAAAAAAATCCAAACGACTGCAAACGAATGGACATGTGTCATCCATCGATAACGACATCTCGCCTGCCGCCGACCAAGTGTGGTATTTGATTACTGTGCTTGGGAGACAGCGAACAAATCTGCTACGTGTGGAAACACGGTGCACATAGTACGGGCTTGGGCTGTTCGTCGTTGTGGGCCCTCTTCTGCCTAAGGGGCGGTGGAAAAGGCCCAAGCCCACATGCGGGTTGTAAATTACAGCAGCCCGAAATCATGGCAATTAGTGGCACTTTCTCCGTGCATGAGTGCAAGGAGCTATGATGTTTCCGACATCATGCTACGGTTTTCTAGTATTGTCGGGCCTCAATGTACCCACCACTCTGGCAAATACCATTTTGGCCTTAGTTCCACGGTTCCAACTGGGGCCGGGCACCATTGCATAAAAACATCGGACACCAGCGAGGGCAGGGCAGGCCAGTACCACATCCACCTGCCAACACGGACAAACAACTACCACTGCCTCCGACGACGAAGATAGCCGACGGGGATCGCGTCAAGGAGCCAGGCTTGAGCCACGCAAGACCACCATGGAAGTTGGGCCTCTGTCAGGACCATGGACGCCCTTCTTGCAAGACTCGGGGCACAGGCCATGAATATGGCCATTCGATCAGGGCTCGCACTGACCTCAACATATGCTGTCCAGCAGTGCTCACGCCTGCTTAAAACCGTCGACGACAAGTCGGTTCGCGCAGAGCTAAGAGCGCTGCAGCAGGAACTTGATGAAAGAATCCAGGTAGGCAAGGATGTTTACCGAAACCTCCCTTTGCTTGTCTGAGACGGTGTCTGAAACCCTACTTCCTGCCTGTGCTCTAGATAATCGCGCCGGCTATAGACCTGATAGAATTCAAAGCAGGCCGAGGTAATGCCTTCCTGGAGAGTGCTGTTCCTTTGGCCAAGTCTCTGCGCCGACGCATCGTAGCTCTCGGTAAACAACTCGACGATGTGGCAGGCGCAGAGGAAGAACTGCGGCAGTCTAGAAGCGCCGCCTCCAAGGCCCGCGGCTCGGGCTCGCAGTCGGCCCAGCTTCGAGGAGTCATGGAGGAAATGAAGCGCCTCCTCGAAAGGATAGAGCGTGACGCCCACATGCTGCAGTTTTCCATTAGCGCATCAGGAGAGAATCTGTCCACCTCACTGCCGCCGGGTGTCTCTCCGTCTCGGCTCATGCAAGCAAGCACCTTTATCAGCATCGGCGACACTCAGTTTGCCAACAACCCGGGAAGACCCGTGCAGATTGGCCCAGCCTTCACTCTTTCGCTGTATCTGCTGTTTGTGGGCCACAGCGCCGACTCTGCACGACTGCCCACCGCTACAGGCACGGGATCGGACTCAAATCACAGCCCTAGGGACGCCAGCGCGATGGAGCCCGAACCGTACGGGCTTGGAGACGGCGAGAGGAAACCTATATGGCAAGAGGTCCTTCACAAAGCTCGGACAAGACTCTGCAGGATCCCTTACGGCTGGGAGTTTGATCGCGGATGTGGCTATCGTCCGACCATCTCCGGGTCTTTGCGCTCGCCGTCGACAAGCGAGTATTCATATCACTTGGAGATCATTGAGGACTTAGATGATGGTCGCGTTCACGAACAGGAGGGCAACATCATAGGATCTTTTGATGACCTCCCCTTGGCTGGTATCAGAGAATCCATCCCTGTTCATCAAGTGTCCAAGATCTTCTACACCAACACCGGCAGCATCCTGAACATCGGAAACGCCTCGGGGAGCGACAGCAATCCAGCACTACTGCTGAAGAGAGACCCGAGTGCAACCGCACCTAGCCAGCTTGTTGAAGGCATGCTGCAGGATGAGGGCGCACCGAGCCCGGATTCTGACGACGACAGGGTAGCCAGCCAGGTCTCGCAGGAAGAGATTGACTCCCAAATCCGACGAGAGAGTCGAGGTTGGGGTGGGAGCAAGCATTATCCCGAACACTCTCCTACGGGATGGAGCTTTCCAAAACATCTCGATACCGAATGGATGGCGCTGGAAGTGTTCTCCGACAGCGGAGACGACGATAGTAGCTCCAGCACCGAGGATGGCACGAGCGAGGAGGAGGCCAAGGCTATCCAAATCAACCGCAGAGGTAAAGACAAGCGATTATCCGTGGATTCGAGGCTTATGGCTCAGATCCGGGATGTATCGCTTGGGCCGCAGCACGAAATAACAACTGCCTCCTCATCGCCATCGCGCTTTGAACTTGGTGAGGCAGGCAGCTCCGAGGCTATGATTGCTCGGGCGTCGCCGTTTGGAGCTATCACATCATCTCTCTCGTTGTTGGAGGTTCTTATTCGCCTGACAAGCCTCCAGGAGTTTCAGCAGGCGTCCCACCTTTCGATACCCGATCATATCCTCACGTTCTTCCTGGAAGAAACAGCCACAACGGGGTTCTCAGGTGAACAGCAGCTAAAGGCTCGGGTAGAGGCGCAGAGGAAGGTCGGCTTTGACCCGTACAATGATGGCCCTGCGAGGTGAGTGTGGATAGTCTAGAGATATATAGAACGCTCAAACGATGCGGAGTCTCACTGGCAGTGAAAGGCTGTGTCTCCCCTTGCCAAGATTAAGGTGGATTTCTATATTGGTGATGTGAAGTGGGAACACACACGTCACATGATCACGCATTTTGACTGCGCCCCACACACACGCCTTTAAATCCCTGCCTGGTTGCCTTGACAGTGACCCAGTGTTTACAAACGGTGACTGCAGCCTGCAGGAGCACGCATACCAACAACCAACGAGCGAATCGGGGAAGACCAAAGCAGCAAGAAACCAAAGGAAGAGGATCAAGTGCACACCGACTTTACGGATGGCCTGTTGCTGTTGATTTTCACCAGAGCAACATTTTGTGAAGCAGGTATCCCTACCTAATGTCTCCTTGTGCGGCTCCCTTCGGTTTGCCCACCCCGCTAACAATCACTTCTCGACTATATTCAGAAAACCCAGCACGGGTTCAGATTTCGCTCCACGAACAGCATCATAGCCAGTAACGGTCGATAGTCGAATCGACAGCCACCCTCTGGCCAAAAGCTACCGGACCCAGCGAGGACTCCAAAAGGCCACCGCCCCCGCAGACCACCTCACGCTACCCCGCCATGGCGCGGTCACGCAGCGCGTCCTTCTCGGACGACGACATCGAGTTCGTAGGCTCACAGATGATCGCCCAGGCTAGGACCCAGTCCAAGGCGGTACTCCAACCGGCCAGTGGTAACAGGGAGACGGGCAATATTCCCAGCAGCCCCATCGGCACAGCCAAAACCCCGGGGACTGCCGTCCCGGAATTCGGACGACCGACTATGCCATCCCCGCAGCAGCCCAAGGCTTTTTCATCTCTCTACAAGAAGGAGAAGAAGTCCAACGTCTTCTTGCAGCCCCAGCGCCGCCCCGAGCACCACAGGGGTCACCAAATCTCGGGACCCAGTGCCCTCAAGTACAACGACAAGGATGCACCGCCCCTCCCTGTCTACACCTCGCTTCCAGCCCAGCGTGACAGCAGCACCGCCGGTGCATCCATGTACTCTCAGCCTGCTAGATTGGGATTCGATGACGAGCCCTTCTACACAGACCCCAAGAAAGCCACCGACGATCTCAAGGCTTTGTTGGAGGGTGGCATGGATGAAGACGAGGAGGAGCAAGGCAAGAAGGAGGAAGACAAGGAAGAGAAAATCGATGATGGCTCCCTCGAGGGCATCACCGTCAAGCTTTTGCCTCACCAACAGGAGGGAGTCGAGTGGATGAAGGGGCGTGAGCTTGGCCCCGTCAAGCGAGGCAAGGTCCCCAAAGGTGGAATCCTGGCAGACGACATGGGACTCGGAAAGACACTGCAGTCTCTATCCCTCATCATAAGCAGTCCGAAACCTGGCAAGGATGACGCCGGCTGGAAAAAGCGCTACGACGGCATCGGCAAAGGCACCCTAGTCGTGGCCCCGCTGGCGCTGATCCGGCAGTGGGAGGCTGAGATCGCCGAGAAGGTCTCGGCCGATAAGCGGCTCAATGTTTGCGTTCATCACGGCCCAAGCCGGACCAAGAAATACACGGAGCTGGCCAAATACGACGTGGTTATCACAACCTATCAGATCCTGGTGTCTGAGCATGGGCACTCGACCGATGCTGTCGGCGCCGGTTGCTTCGGCATACATTGGTTCCGGGTTATCCTGGACGAGGCACACAGCATCAAGAACCGCAACGCAAAAGCAACCAAGGCCTGCTGCGCCCTGCGCGCGGAATTCCGCTGGTGTCTCACTGGAACACCAATGCAGAACAACTTGGACGAGCTGCAGAGCTTGGTCAACTTCCTGCGCATCGCTCCATATGACAATCTCAAGCACTGGCGCGAGTTCATCGACCAGCCGATGAAGGGTGGCAAGGGCCATCTGGCCATCCGTCGCCTCCACAGTATCCTACGCTGCTTTATGAAGCGCCGCACCAAGGAGATCTTGAAGGAGGAGGGTGCCCTCAACCCTGGAGGGAAGAAGGCGCTCGAGGCAGCGGCGGCCAATGGCGACGGCGAGGCGGCCAAGGCGCCTGCCTTCAAAGTTACTGAGCGCAAGGTCGTCGCCGTCTCGGCCAAGTTCTCGCCTGCGGAGAGGAGGTTCTACGCCAGGCTTGAGGAGCGTGCCGACGAGAGTCTGCAGCGCATGATGAAAGGGAGGGTCAACTACGCCAATGCCCTGGTGCTTTTGCTGCGTCTGCGCCAGGCCTGCAACCACCCGAAGCTCGTTGGCGTCAAGCCCGAGAAGGACAAAGATGCGCTCTCCATGGATACTGTGCAGCCAAAGAAAGCAGAGGCAGACATTGATGACCTTGCTGATGCCCTTGGTGGCATGGGTATCGAGTCGAAGCAGTGCGATGTCTGCATGAGTGGCCTGACAAGGGAGGAGGCGAAAAAGGGGAGGTCTGTCTGTGAAGCATGCGAGGAGGATCGCGCTCAATTCAACTCAGAGGCTCCCGAGGGAAAGAAGCCCAAGAAGGACAAGAAGCACAAGACCTCCAAAAAGACAGCCAAGGAAGTCGCCATCTCCGACGCACAAAAGCGGAAGCCGAGAAATCGTATGGCTGTGATAGACAGCGATGACGAGGAGGATGACGCCAGCTGGATTGTTGGAGAGGATCAACGCGGAGCCCTGCGCCTTGGCAAAGCCGGCGGCGATGAAGACGAGAATGCTGAAGGTGGTGGAGAATGGCTAGAGTCCGAAGACTCGGTACATCACTCTGAGGACGAACAAAACGACGCCAGTCGCCTCAGCAGCTTCATTGTTGACGAGGAGAACGACAAGAGCAAAGTGACAACAGCCGCAGACTCTGACGACGATTCCTTGGCTTCAGTCTCGGAGATCCACTCCAAGGCCCAGAAGAAGAAGAATGCTAGCACGGTGGATGAGTCCGACGCTAGCTCCGACTCCGAGTCCGAGTCGGAAGAGGACTCTGCGGTTTCTGGATCAGGGGACGAGTCCGACGACGATCAGTGGGACAACAAAGACTCGTCCGGGCGTGTGGTGCCGTCAGCCAAAATCCGGAACCTTCTTGAGATCCTCCACAAGGAGGCTCAGGAACACAAGTTCATCGTCTTCTCGCAGTTCACCTCGATGCTGGATCTGATCGAGCCTTTCCTCGAGAAGGATGGGTTCAAGTATGCACGCTACGACGGGTCCATGAAGAACGAGCTGCGAGAAGAGAGCTTGCATGCTCTCCGCAACGACAGGCAGACCCGCCTGCTACTTTGCAGTCTCAAGTGCGGATCTCTCGGGCTCAATCTCACGGCCGCCACACGGGTGGTCATTCTGGAGCCGTTTTGGAATCCGGTAAGTCTACGTATTGGCGAGAATGGTAATGACGAAACAACGCTAACCCCATGGCGATGCAGTTTATCGAGGAGCAGGCTATCGATCGTGTTCACCGTCTGACGCAGACAGTCGACGTGATTGTGTACAAGCTCACTGTTGAAAAGTCCGTGGAGGAGAGGATTTTGGAGCTTCAGAACAAGAAGAGGCTTCTCGCGGAGCAGGCGATCGAGGGAGGCATGAAGAAGAAGGATGCGCTTGGACTCGGACTGCAGGAGATGCTTGCGCTCTTCAACCACGACCGCACGAGCTTCGGCCCCGGTGGCGACAGCGCCGTTCTCGAAGACGCTGGCGACACTTCAACAACATCGCAGACATCGTACGACGGGTTCGGGCGCAAGAAGGCCAGCCGACAACCGGGCCGGCCAGAGGTCGATTCGGCGTTCAGCCGCCGTTGGTAGTCTCGCATTGGCGCCGGCCTTTATTTCCCGGCCCGTTATGCGTCTCCTTTTCTCTTTTGTTTTCAACCCCTGTCATAGGCTCCCATTATGATGGTAGTATGCATGTTTGCGTTTAGGACTACGAGGGTGGGCTCAGGCGGATTGGATCTGTGTTTACGAGAATGAAGGCGTCGTTGGTTATTGAACGAAAAGGCAGCCACCGAGGGTTCAGTACAGAACTCAATAGATTTGGTGGTCGGGTGTTTCCCCTCTGATCGTCATTGGTCCTTGAAAGGCCAATAGTCTCACTCAACGGGCGCTCTTGCACCATGATGTTGTGCGGACGCGTTTTAGTGCAGGATGACTCCATTTCACCCCTGGCGGTGACTCGATCGCGGGGGATTGGCACTAACATTCGGCATGGGATCACCATGTTGGGTGTGTGGTGGACAATTTCGTGATTCGCTGACGCAATTGATGCACGGCTTCGAAGGCTCCACGCCCGGGATTGCAACTGCTTTGAAGCATGGATGCCCCAGCTCGGGAACAGATCCGGGGCATTTCGATGAAACAAATGTCTTTACCCACACTCATTCCGTGTTCCCCAAGCGTTCATGGGAGATGGAAATGCGCATCTTGGAAAATTAGGCAGGAGGAATCTGTCATGGAAGGCATGCAGCGACTCCGAGTCCTGGACGAAGGCAGAACTCCATACTCAGATTAAGTCATACCGCCAACAAAAGCCGGCCTAGGCAATTTGAGTTACTAGGCTTCCAGGTTAGGTGCTTCGCGCAGGTGCCTGGTATGCACCTAGGCGGACCGATGCCTCGCTGACGCTTTCAGTTAAAGAGCCCCCTGCGTCAAACAACTTTTTGAACAAAGCTTCCGCTATCGGCGAGGAAACTAGCACGGGACGCTGGCAGCTGGCGTGGGGGTGGTGGAGTGGAGGTCAGCCTCTCGGCAGCCGCCAATCATACGGCTCCATCGCCCCAGAATGACCCGCTTTGTTATCAAAGTCCCGACGCTTGACCCGGCTCGGTAGCCGAGCCGCTCGCCAGCGTGTGGGCCAGCGTGTGGGTCCAGTAGCTGCTGGGTCGCTATGACTCTGTGGCTCCAGGTACCCCGAGGTGCCCGTGGTGCCATCAGTTCTGCTGCACCGCGACATGGCGTGGTTCCCCAGGCCGGGCCGCCAGCACAGCCCAAGCACCAACCGGGCAAGCTCTGCTTGGTGCGCCGCCAACACGTCCTGTTGCCGTCCCCCGTTTGTCGACCCCGTTTGTCTATCTGCACGCTGCGCTCTCCCTCTCCTGCACTCCCCCTGGGTAGGCAGGGGCCCGTTTTGTCGAGCCAACCACGCACCCTCGTCTGCTCGCCTGCCTGCGTCGCCTGCGCTGCTTGCTTCGCTCGGGGAGTCGGGCTGCATGCATGCCTCGACCTGTGCTGTGCTTGGTAGGTTTAGGGTGCACGGGTGAGCAGGCTAGTCCGCCCAAGCCAGCGCTGTTCACGCATACAAGCCTCGATCGAGGGCCAGTCGGGGCCAGGCACGCAATTTGGCTTCCGACAGGCAGCGAATCCAGACAGCCGAAACCACCTGCAGCCGTCGGCCAGTCCAGCAAGGCCAATAGCGTGGCTACACAAGGTGCGACCTAGGGCGGCCACCGATTGCAGGGCACAGAGCCATGTACCTGCCGTAACCCTGCCTCCGACGACTCCACATCCATCCGCCTCGCTCCACCAAGGCGCGGCCGTCCCAAGTCCTGGGCCGCTGACCGTCCGCGACAACACAAAACCTCGACTCAACCCCCTACTTTTGGATACGGCCCGCCAACACCTCCCCTCTTGTGTCTGGCTGCCCCGTTGCCTGCCCATCCAAGACAGGGTCCGACCGATACCCTGGGGGGCCTACCCAGTTGCGCGAGCCCCAAACCCCAGGCTACCCCAACATGGAGACGCCGCTGCCGCTTGGAGAGGAAACCCATTCCGCCTAAACAAGATCCGTGCTGCCTACTACGCCGCCCCGATCACAACTCCGCCGCCCACCGCCGAGGCTTGGAGCCACCGCGTTCCGCCCAGGGGCACACCACAGCATTTCTTATCGGTCTCTTCCTCCCAGCCGTGGGTGTCCACCCCTCCATCGAGACTTGTAGCCGTTATTGTGACCTCCATCTTTCGTCCCATCCCTGGGCGCAACGCCGCCCCCACACCTGCGCCCGTCTGCGTCACACGCCTGCTGTGCCGAAAATGCATCAGCAGCCGCGATATCCGCCGAGGGTCTCTTCGCCTGCATCCAACTTGCAGACGAACCCGACCAGAACCAACAACCCGAGGGACGGCCTCGGAGCCGGCTCCCGCTCGAGGGCCTCCTCGGGCGCCGCTGGCCAAGACGGCGGCCAGGGGGGCTCTAGAACACCGGATGGCTCGCCGGGCCCGGGGCCCACCCGCGAATCTGTCAAGAAGCTTGATCAGATAATACAAGTACGTTGCGCCTGTGTGCAGCGCCGCCCTCTTCCTATTCTTCCACCTCTACCAGTGTCACTTGGATAGAACTAACGGGCCTTTTCACGGTCTTCTTTAGAATTTCCACGTAAAAGCCGCGGTGCTTATTATACAGTCAAGGACACCGACAACGCCAACAGCAGCCTCGAGGAAAGGCGACGGAAGGAAAACCAACAAATGGGTGTGTTTAGAGACACCCCTTTCTTGCTCCCCTCTGGTCGAGGCTGACGGTTCCTATTAGTTCCAAATCGAGACGGACGAAATAGATGATTTCAGGGAAGAATTGCGGATATGGAAAACATGTGGAGGCTTCGAGAACAGGCCGCCCCCCATGATAATGGAAACATATCTGGACGCATCCGACCTTTCGTCCGGCCAAAGCCTGGTGGTGACGGACGACAATGGCAACATGTGGGATGTACTGGAAGCTCTTAACCCCGACTCGTCCAGCGAGGGCAGCTCTTCCCCCATGCCCCGCAAACGCAACACGGAGATCGTCCTCGAAAGGTGGAGGATCGAGCTCAAGTGCCTGCCCAGCGACGACACGGAGGATTTCGGCCCCACGCTGCCGGCGACCTACAAGAAGAGCATAGTCTTTTTCAGGTCCCTTTTCGTCAGCACCAAGATCCTGCCTGCATGGAGGCTCGCACGGCAGTCGCTGGTAAGACCATCGACCCATCCAGCCCTGCAAGTGCGCTGCCGTTTTGTTTTTGGCGACCCCGATCCGTCTGGCTTCGATCTTCTTCGCCAGCCGCTCCACGACGGGCGGGACGCCGTCACCGACTACATTTTTGGAGATCTTGAAGTCCCAGTCGGGAGGTTCTACGCATCCGTTTCCTATCGCAATGATTATAGTTTTCGCGTCGACGACTCCGAGGCTCTCCTCAGCTCTCGATTCATGGGCGTTGACGACCAGATGTTCAAGCCATCTCTGCCGCAGCGGCAAGTGAGTCGCCGCGACTCCTCGTACACAGCCGACATGGGCTCTTTGTCGACACGCCGCCAAGATAGGAAACAGCCGCCAGAGCAGCAGACGTACGGGAGCCTTTCCACCTTCCACGGCGCTGGGGCTCTTGGCGCTAGCCCCTTGTCAGCCCTCAAGGCGGTGCGGCCTGCTGGGTCCGACACCAGTTCTCCGGTGGGATCGGCAAACGCCAGTGTCGAACCAGAACCGCCACACTCTCTGCCCATATCCGGGTACGCTGGCTCTGCTCGACCGCCTTTCAGGGGCGCCGACGGCCACTCCCGGCGCACCTCAGTGTCCTTCCAACCGTTCAAGGCTGGCTCGCTTTCCGGATCGCCAAGGATCCAGGACACTGATGTACCACCATCGCCCAGCTCGCTAGCGAGACAGTCGGCGCTCGGCGCCTTTAATGCGGCTAGAAACCGTAACTCGTTGACAGCCGGCATGGCGGCCTCGCTGCGGGGCGGGCCCCCAGGCTCGGACGCGGCAGGCAGCGCGTCTCCAAGGCCCGGGAGTCGCTACAGCAGTAGTTTTACACACAAGCGAGGCAAATCGTCGTTTGGAGGTACCAGCAGGGCCGGTGACGATGACCAGGGCAGCAGCGGCAAACAAAGCTTGTCGTCGTCTGTCCAGCCCGGCTCTGGCCTGCTGGCCGAAGCCGCGGGAGCGAGCTCAGGATCGATACAAGCTGATGACGAAAATATATCTGAGTTCTTGAAGATTCTTGACAGCAAAAGGACACTTCAGAGCCTGGAGCCGACGGCCAAGACGAGGGAGGCGTCCGCCAAGAGGACCGTGGCACAACTCTCGAAGTTCCAGCTCATGCGAGAGTCTAACAATTCGTTGACAGAGTCCATGTCTTCATCGATACAGCTACAGCGATCGTCGGGGTCATATAGCCGGACGCAAAGCGGGCCGGGTATGTTGAACCCGGCGTCGCTGTCGGCATCGCTGTCTCCCAGCAAACCGCTATCACCGCACACTCCGCACACTCCGGCGATACCGTCCCGGTTGAGTGAAAACGCGATCATCGACCATCAAGCCCAGGCCCAGGCACAAGCACAGGCGCAAGTGACCCACAGAGCAGTGGTTGGGGCCGGTGCGCCATCTACACGCAGCGGCACCACAAGCGCCGGGTCGGGCCGCCAGGAGGGCGCTACGGCTATCGACATACCCCTGTCCCCACGCCTTCAGCAGACGAACCGTCGCTCCAGCTCTGTGGCCCATCAGAATCGAGCGCTTCTCGAAGATGATGAGACTCCCGACCTCCCGTTTGCAGGAAACCGGAGTATCAGCCTGGGTGCGGATAGTCGTGAGCCCGTCTCGAGACTGAGTGGGCTGGGACTGATAGACAGGACCGGTCCTGGGTCAGCCGACGGGCCATCATCACTGCAGCCCGCCGTGGAAATTCGCTCGTCGGCGGTGGCCCCCAGGTCGTCCGTGTCATCGACGGAGCCAGAGGACAAGAATCCGTCAGCAGGGCTCCTACCAGGCACATCGGCCTCTTCGTACCGCCTGCGGTATACTGGAAGCATCGGCCGAGGGCAGCGTCGACCGACTCCCCCGCAGTCCTCGCGTGGTAGCTTCACTGGATCCGGTTCTGCCGGCAGGTACGGCACGCGTGGCGCCGGCGATAACGAGCCAGATGATGAGCCACTCGTGTTTGACATGTCAGAGCTTGAGCGGCCGCAGGGGCGGGCGAGCATCGATGAGCCACGAGGCGGCGGCGCCCCCTTGGGGACAAGCGAGAGGGGGGGCTATGAAGCGCATCACAGCCGGCGCTGGTGAAGCTCGCTGTGATTCGCGCCCGAGCGCTTTCTTGGAGTGTGACGGCTTTCGTTTCGTCCCCACTCTCTTGACGATTCGTTGTTTTCTCATGGTAGCTTTGGCGTTTCGGGGTCTTTGTCAAGATGAGGGCTTGACTATTTGGCAGGACAGGAACCAAAGGACGGCTCACCAATGGTCCGTGCGTGGACTGACATGGCGGGCGTGTGGCCCCTATCGAAGATGGATGGGTATGTCTCACAGCCCAAGGTCAAATGACAGCCAGCATGCTGTGCACATGAAACTGGCGAGGTGTGTGTCGGGCTACGGAACCTGCCGACCTGAACTAACTTCTACTTATGTATATGTACTCATATTTCAACGCGAAATGCTGTTCGTGGACTTTGAAGAGTCTGGTCTTCTTGAGAGCCACATTGCCTTATGGCCGTTGGCGAGTACGAACGGAGTATTGCGTGCGTTTGCCTACCTTAGACAGCCAGCTCAATGCCGTCCACCGAGACGAGAAGCTGCATCTTTGGGATGTGTATGCGCATGGCGATGAAGAGGATATAATCAATCATGGAACAGAGAAGAGGTAATGGGCGCAGCCTTTGGCCGCAGTCGCGCGAGCCAGGCAAAGAGTGTGGCGCTGCGGAGCGAGCGTCCATTTTTGGAGTAGAGTGGGGCAGGTGGCGCCTTGTCCACGCAATTCAAGGCCAGACGGGGGAGCTGATGACGCTCGAGCGGCGCTGCTGAGAAAGAGGTCACCACCCGCTCACCATTGACACAGATACCTCTGCTTGCCTTCATTCACCCAACCCGCCACGCAAACCCCCGCCTAACCTCGTTCCACCAGGGAGAGCGCCGCCCATATCTTGTTCTGACGAGACACCTGCCAGCCGTCTCTTTTGCTTCACCATCGTCCCCTTCGCTACTTTCCATCGACAGCCCAACGACAGGCGGCTGCCGAGGTACTCAGCACCAGCCGCATCACAGAAGCTTCCAGGCAACTACCTCGCACCTCCTTAGCCTGCCCACGACCGCATCTGGACCTACCACTTTCCCCAATAGGCTCGCCTCTCCTTACACTGACGAAGGCGACGAGTCCCGCGCGCGACGGCTTCAGCAATAATTGCTGCCAAAGAACCGTCCACAATGTTCCGAGCTCAGGGGGCATCGCCGTTCGATGCCGTCATCGGTAGGCAACATCCTTCGCCGGGCCCGGCCCAGCGCCCCGCGGCGCTGCCAGGCAGGCTTGTCCGAGAAACACACCCGTGCTAACAGCTGCCACGCCGCCACCACAGCCAAGGCGACAGACGAGAACCTCACCTCTGAGGATTGGGGCGCCATTATGGAGGTGTGCGATAAGGTGGCCAGCGAGCCCGAGGGGTCCAAGGAGGCCGTCCAGGCCCTCATAAAACGACTGGCCCATCGCAATGCGAACGTGCAGCTCTACACGCTCGAGGTAGGTCTAGGTGGGCGTCTGGGTTGCAGACTGCCACCGTCGCTACAGCATGCCAGCCTCCCAGCTCAGCACTGACACCTTCGCACAGGTCGCCAACGCTGTCAGCCAGAACTGCGGGAAGCCCATGCACCGCGAGCTGGCATCCCGCGCCTTCACGGAAGCCCTCCTCAAACTAGCCAACGACCGTAACACCCACAACCAGGTCAAGGCCAAGATCCTAGAGCGCACCAAGGATTGGTCCGACATGTTCAAGGATGACGCCGACCTGGGCATCATGTACGACGCATACTACCGCCTCAAGCAGACCAACCCACAGCTTCAGCCGCCCTCGGCCCCCCAGAAGAACTCGCTTACGGACGTGGACCGGCAGAAGGAAGAGGAGGAGCTTCAGATGGCGCTCAAGCTTTCTCTTCAAGAGGAGGAGCGCAAGAAGCAGGTGGCTGCCGGACCTTCAGGTAGTGGATCCGGTGCCTCGGCCGCATCAGGCGCACAGGGGGGCTCAGGAGCTGCTGGCTCCTCAGCTGCCGGCACGGCGGGACAGGCTGGCGCTACCGCGCCACTGCAACAGTCCCAAACTGGCACAACAGCTGCGACAGTGTCGAGAGTGCGTGCTCTGTTTGACTTTGTGCCCTCGGAGGATGGCGAGCTCGAGTTCAAGAAGGGCGACGTGATTGCGGTGCTCGAGTCGGTCTACAAGGACTGGTGGCGTGGCTCTCTCAAGGGCAAGACGGGCATCTTCCCCCTCAACTACGTTGAGAAACTGGCCGACCCGACCCCAGACGAGCTGCAACGAGAAGCCCAGATGGAGGCAGAGGTGTTTTCCGAGATCAAGACCGTTGAGAAGCTTTTGACACTCCTCAGTACCGCTTCCAAGGAGGAAGACAGCGAGGAAATTGCCGTGTGTATTCTCCTATACCGCGATCCCTCCCCAGCCACTGTCGCCTACCAGCACACGGCCGACAGCTTCTGAATCACTGACGCTGATTATGTTGGACGAGCAGAAACTGTACCAACAGACCTCGGCAATCCGTCCAAAGCTGATCAAGCTCATAGAGAAGTACTCACAAAAGAAAGGTTTGTTCCTCGCATCAACCTAGCAATGAGCCTTGACGAATTAAGCCTCGGTCGGTGCTAACCGGGCGCGCCACACATGTAGACGACTTTACGCAGCTGAACGAGAAGTTTATCAAGGCCAGGCGAGACTACGAGGCTCTCCTGGAGTCGTCCATGTCCCACCCACCGCAGCCCAGCTACCACCAGTACGCCCCACGCCCGCCTCAGGGCTACGGTGCCGCTCCGCCCGCTGGATACCAGCCGCAGGGGGCGCCGCAGCAAGATCCCCAGCGCTTTTATACGGGCGCACCGCATCAAGGTAAGAATATACCGCCTTCCTCTGTAGGAGCACAGGGTAGTGGATATGACATCCAAGTCGGACTCACCAGCCACTCACACTCAAGATGCTTAGAACAAGGACACTACCCGCCCTCGTCGCCACCGCCCAACCTGCGGCGCCCGAGCGGCACTCCCGGCCCAGGCGGAGCGCCATTTTATGTGGCAGGCGCAGAGGTGCCGGCGGCGCAAGCCGGGCCACCCCCTGCTCAGCAGTTCCCACCACGAGACCCGGGCCAGCGCCTTCCTTCTGCAGGGAAACAGCCGGCCCCCATCCAGACGCAGCAACCCTCGTCTCCGCCCCCTCATGGCACATATGCGAGCTATTCGCAGCCGCCCACGCAGCAGGGCTCGTACGGAAACCCCCAGGAGCTGTCGACGTCGGTTTACGACTCGCCTATCGCGTCACACAACCCCAACCAAACCACTATTCCACCGAACGCCTCCGCATACCAGGCAGAGACGTATGGTCGTGTGTCAAGCCCCTCGACGGTGCCGGCACCTCTTAGCGTTGGTGGCGGCGGCCAGCCCCAGCAACAGCCATACCAGTACCCGGCGTACTCGGGCCCGTCACAGAAGCCGCAGAGTCCAGGGCAGAACCCAACCCCGCAACAGAACCCTTACGCTGGACAAGGCTACGACGATTCGGATGCGGGCGCGAGCGCTCCCCCGCCTCCACAGCCCACATCAGCGGCGCCGCCCCCACCCATCCCCGGCGCCGGTGGCCCGCAGCGCGTCTACTCGCCCGTGCACGGCGGCCAGGGCGGGGATGCAAGGTTCACGCTGCCCAGCCGCATGGCTCCGTCGGCACCGCCCGCGGCAGGAGAGCCACACTCGCAGCCGCAGTACAAGGCGTATGTACCCCCTTCGGCCGGTGGCCCCGCCGCCGGAGCCAGCGCCCCGAGCGACTACTACAGACAACCCGGAGGTGTAAGCTACTGATGGTTGTATGGACATGGTTCTGTGTACTGTTACCGCTCGCTTTCTTCGATTTCGGTTCCTTTGCCTGTGATTGATTAGCACGAGGACACGACGGAGAATTATATCGTTCTTCCTCCCTTTTTTCGGCTGTTGTTTACCAAGATTCCTATATTTCCAACGCCATTATCACGTTCCCTACCCAAATGAAGAAACAGAAATATTCACCGAATGCAGTCCTAGCCTTCTTCCGTATGGAAAGGCATCTTCTGTGACGCTATCAGTTCTTGTGTTATTGCGGCCACAAGACCAGCCACCCGATGTGTTGCCTTTGTTTTCCAGCTTATCTCATGTTCGTATTAAGATTAGGAGTATAATTCGCCATGAGCTACCGATGCAATACAGAGACTAATGCAACTGTCAAATCACAGGAAAGATCGGGATGGCAGTAGTCCGGTTGTGAGTGTAGCTGGGGAATATTCACCGCGCCCCAACACCAGATAGATTCCCAGGTGTATATATCCCTGAACGATTCAGACATCCCCTTTTATAGTAAATTACTCCGTCCCATCTTTGTGCTTTTTTTGTTTGTTCTTCTTTTCCTCTTTTATATATTGTTCCCTTCAAGCCGCCGACCGTATCCTCTTACTCCTCCGCACAGACAATGTGGTTGTTTCACTTATAATCTCGGCCTTGACACTAGATACTTCTGCGTCTGTCCTGGCCTTGCGCTTCCTCGGCTTTGGGGTTACTTGCTCTGTAGAAACCAAGAGCTCGGTCTTGACTTTGGTTTCGATCTCAGTCTTGACCGCATCGCCATCATCATCTTTGCCCTTTCCTTTACCCTTGCCTTTGCCCTTGCCCTCACCCTTCTCGGGCTTGAGGCGGTCGGAGAAGGCGCGTAGGTTGGCGGTGAACAGGACGCTCTGGGCCCAGCCGGCCTGGGGGCCCCAGAGGGCGCGGAAGTGCTCGCCGACGGCGTCGTACATGGCCTTTGACATGGCGGCGCCCTTGCCACTGCCGCCGGAGCCGCCGGGCGCCTTCTTGCCGAAGCCGTAGTCGCGCGTGGCGATGGTCCACATGTGCGTGTCTATGGGCACCGACTCGCCCCAGCCCAGGCCCATGAGGCACACGCAGTCCGACACCTTTGGGCCGACGCCCGAGAGCGAGAGGAGCGCCACGTGGGCGGCGCGGTAGGTCGGCGCTTCGGCGGGGGTTACTGCTGCTGCTGCTGCTGCTGCTGCTACCTCGTCGTCGTCGGGTTGTTCGGTCTTGACCAGCCGCTGCTTCTGCTGCTCCTGCCCCTCGGCGCCGTCACTGCCCCAGCCAAGCAGGGCCGGGTTGCGCAGGGCGCGCAGCCAGCCGTGCGGCAGCTGGCCCGTGACCATGCGGGCCGTCTCGGCGATATAGCGGGCGCGGTAGCCGAAGCCGAGCAGGCGCAGGTTCTGCTCCACTCCGTCTGCGGCGAGGGCGGACGGCGCGGGGAAGTCGCGAAAGACGTGGCCCGCGACCATGGCGATGGGCTCGCCGCCGTAGTGGTCGCAGAGCTTGTGGGTCATCTGGGAGATGCGGGCGATGTTGTTGTTGGCGCTGCAGATGAAGGCCACGAGCGTCTCCCAGGCGTCCTGGTTCAGGATGCGCACGCCCGCGAACTTGGGCGCCTTGCGGCTGAAGTTTGCGTCCTTGCCGGACCACTCGGCGTACAGGCCGGCGAGCGAGTGCGACATGTTGAAGTAGCTGAGTAGCAGCCTCTCCGTGCCGTCGTCGTCTGCTGCTGCTGTTGCTTCTGGGGGAGGTGTGGTGGGGGTGCTCTCGGCCTCGCCGTCCTGCTCCTGCTCATCCTTGATAGCCTCAGGCGAGAGCGGTGCTGGGGACAGCTTGAGCTGCCTGCTCGTCGGCCAGGTGGCCCGGTAGTGCAGATGAGTCTCGTCTTGCTTGAGCGAGACCACGCGCCCATGGAGCGAACAGTGCCTTTGGCGGGGCATGTCAGCCATCGTTCTAGCTTTCTTTCTCTCAGAGCAGGGCGGGGGAAGCGCCGGTCTCCCCTATATCAGGGGGTTTAGGAGGTTTTTATATACCATTCATCTTGGATCTTGAGCCACCTGAAGGATTGGCCACATCGGAGCGTGGTGTCAATGCACAGCTCCGCCAGACTGACGGGCAGCTTGCGCCATAGGAGGGCATCTGCCGGCGCCATCGTTGAAGCTCCTGTCTGTACTGCTGCCGCACTGGCCATTTTCACTTTTACTCGTAAGGAGGCTTCATAGGCTAGAATAAGTGTGTCTTGACGTTGTACTTTTTTGGTTGTTGTTGTTACCTGTCCTCCTAAATGTAAATCCCATCCCATTCAGGGGCGATTGTTCGATTTCCATTTGCGCCACACGCGCCCATCGAATTGGGTTGACGCGACGAGCGCGCCGCTGCGCAGGAACAGTGCAACTGCAGGGTTGGCCCCACCAGAGATGGGACCCACACAGGTGCATGCGCGGACGCCTCCGCCAGTCCCAAAGAGGCTAGAGCAACCGACTCGGGTGCCAAAGGCTCCAGCCTCTCTCTCTCGGTGGAATTTTCGAAAGCTCCCCTGCGCGACAAGAAAGCCGACAGGGCAGGCGACGTTGTTGCAACGGCAAAACCACACAACATTCGAGCAGGCAGACCAACAGCCTAGAAGTCCCACACCGCGCCCTGCTCTGCTCTGTCCTTGCCATCCATCCGGAATGAACGGCGATAACTACTCTCGAGGTGCGTGTCCACCGTCAGCTCCGCCCTGCCGATGGAAATCCAATTCGGCCAAGCCACCGCATCGAGTCGGTCTCGAGTCGGCTTTTTGCATTGCTTCGGCGCCGGCCGCCTGAATACAAACTAACCTGCTTATTTTGATACATCTACAGACGGAGGCCGTCATGGCTCTTCCGGGGAACATCGGGTTCGTCAGCATCTCTTCATCTCGAGCTTCAAAGATCCCCCATTTGCAAACCTAGCTAATTGTACGCGACTGCGCCAGTCTTCGAGGGCCGACCGCGATGATCGTCGCGACCGAGACCGAGGCGACCGTGAGCGAGGCGACCGCGACCGCGGCGATAGAGATCGGGGCGACAGGGACCGCGACCGCGATCGAACTAGGCGTCGGTCCCGTTCGCCAGACTACCGTGGCGGCGGGCGCTCATCCCGTCGCGACGCCGGGGGTGAGCAGGATTCATACTCGATGAGCCGGAGCCACCGGGACCGTGAACGCGAGGACCGCCACGGCGGCCGAGATCGCCGCGAGCGGGACTGGGATCGGGAGCGTCCCGGTGCCTCCCGACGCGACGCGCGCCGCGATGACGACGACAGACGTGGAGACAGAGACAGGGGAGGTGACGCCTACGCCGACCGCCGCGGCGGCGGCGGCGGCGGCGGAGGCGGCCGTAGAGGCGAGAGGGAGGAGCGTCGCCGAAGCGCTACTCCACCGCCTAAGAAGCGGGAGCCGACCCCGGATCTCACCGATGTGGTTCCGATTCTCGAACGCAAACGTCGCCTCACGCAATGGGACATCAAGCCCCCCGGCTACGACAGTGTGACGGCCGAGCAAGCAAAGCTTTCGGGCATGTTCCCGCTGCCCGGCGCACCACGCCAGCAGACGATGGATTCCAAATCACAGTCGTTTGGTCACCGCGACGGTGGCCGTGATGGTCGTGATGGTGGTCGTGAAGGTCGCGACGGACGTGACAGCCACCGCGACGGCCACAGAGATGGTGGCCATCGGGATGGTCACCGCGACGGCCACCGCGAGGGAGGAGACCGGCAAAACAGCAATGTCACCTTGAAGCCGACCAACTCGAGGCAATCGAAGCGATTGATCGTAACCAACTTTGCGCCTGGCACCACGGAGGAGGCGCTTGTCGCCTTCATGAACCTGCAACTCAACGGGCTCAACGTCATCGAGAGCACCGACCCCTGTCTCTTGTGCCAGATGGCTCCCGACTCATCTTTTGCCATTCTCGAGTTCCGCAGTCCTGCCGAAACTACTGTCGCCCTCGCCCTCGATGGCATCACTATGGAAGCCGAGGACACGCCGATGGAAGGTGCCGCCAACGGTACCCCGCAGGGTCTCGAGCTGCGCCGTCCCAAGGACTACATCGTTCCTGCCGTCGTCGAGGATACGGGATATGAGCGTGGTGTCGTGTCATCTCGCGTCGTCGACACCCCACACAAGATCGGCATCACAAATCTTGCGCCATACTTGACGGAGGAGCAAGTGACTGAGCTGCTCGTGTCTTTTGGCGAGCTCAAAGCGCTGGTCCTTGTCAAGGACAGCGGCACCGAGGAATCCAGGGTACGCCTTTTTGAACCTTATTCTCCGCCCAATCGTCCTGCACAACAAGACCGCTAACATCCTTTCTTTACCAACACAACAGGGCATTGCGTTCTGTGAATATGTCGACCCCGTCGCTACTGACGTCGCTATACACGGTCTCAATAACATGGAGCTTGGTGAGAAGCGTCTTCGGGTGAAGAAGGCCAGCATCGGCATCACACAAGTGTCAGGTATTGAGATGGGAATCAACGCCATGTCCATGCTTGCCGGCACCGTTGCCCAGGACCCCGACCTCAGCCGGGTCCTCCAACTACTCAACATGGTCACGGCGGACGAGCTGCTAGACAATGACGATTACGAAGGTAAGCCCAGCATTCCCATTGCACCACGTTATCCCACGCCCTTCGCCATTTTCTTCGTCACTAACATGACCGTTCCTTAGAAATCTGTGACGACGTTCGCGAAGAGTGCTCCAAGTTTGGCACCATTCTCGAGCTTAAAATCCCTAGACCCAGCGGTGGTGCCAGGCAGTTGGCAGGCGTCGGCAAGATCTATGTCAAATTTGATACCATCGAGTCTTCGACGGAAGCGCTCAAGGCGCTGGCGGGTCGCAAGTTTGCTGACAGGACCGTTGTGACTACGTACTTCCCAGAGGTGAGCCACTCCTCACCCCCTTTTGTTTGGCTGTCGACTAACCAAGTGCTTCAGGAAAATTTCGATGTTGGCGCTTGGTAATCGTATTTGTTGATGGGCCGGTTGGCGTCGCGCAACATGTGGTTTAGCGGGCGGTATATGGGATATACGGAGAGCTTGTGCTAGGTCTGGAGATGGTCAAGACGCGTAGCAGAACCCTACAAGAGGATCCCTGACATCCCGAGCTTCTGCTATGACACCTCTTCTTGTGTATTTGGAACTGTACAAAAGCGCAGGGCTTATTTCATCGCAGCCCAGTCTGATCTTTCTTTTTGCTGTCGTTCTATCGACTAACTTGGCGACTCGGGGTCTTGGAAGTGACGGCGGTATAAAATTGCATTGATGGCACCAGACAAGCGAATCGAAAACTCCAGCGACAGACATAGGGTCAGAGGTGTATAAACGCACAACACTCAAGTCGAGTGATCTCGTGGGATACACATTTCGCCATCAGGCGACAAGCAAATCCATAACGGAATATACTATTATGTATTCAAGTTGACGCGGAGCACTGAACTGCAGAGTTGTATTTAATTTATTGCTAGGGACGTTTCGTTACGACGGCTCGTCCTACCCATACTCATCTATCCTGCCACCAGCACATTGTCCGATGAACACCTTGCGGATCTGTCACAAACCCTTTGACGCTATGGTGATAGATTGGTTTCCGAGCTGGGCCACGTGCGAATCCCCAATGAGAGAATATCAGTAGCCTAGGAGGATCTGAGATGAATGTCAGCACGATGTCTCTGAGCAAGAAAAGTTCAAGGCAGAAGTGATGGCCGCGGAATAGAATCAGAAGTCCGTTGAATTCATCGAGCCCCGAAAGGAGCCCTAACATAAGAGGTACCAGAATAATATGAATGGTTGTGATCATCAGGAGGGTTTGCGGGTGCTTGTGCCTGCGTGTCGGCAATGGCGAGCGGAAAAAGGAATGTGACTTACGGTATATGATGGGAAAGGGTTGGGGAGTCTGCTACATCTCGTCGAGAGATCTGAGGACTCCCCGGCTCTGGGGTGGCGAGGGCGCGTCGCGCCAGGCGAATCACAAGGAAAAGTGCCAGACAAGGACAAAGGAACAGAGCAGAAAAGAGCTCAGCAAGAAAATTTATGTCGGCGAGAAAAGCACCGATCAAGCTCAGACCAGGTGGGGCTGTTCCACAGAGCTCTCGCCCCCACCCACTGCCCCACCAATTGGCAGCTGGCCCTAATTAAGCGAATTTTTCCCACATCGTGCGTGCGAAACGTCCGTCGATTTCAGACATTCAACTTGCCTGACGTCTCCGCGACAAACCGAAAAAAAAAGGACATCGTCGACAACCAGGCTCCTCTCCGCCATCACCACATCAAACCGCCAAAATGGGTCGTCTTCACAGCAACGGAAAGGGAATCTCGTCCTCGGCGATCCCGTACTCGCGCAACCCGCCGGCATGGCTCAAGACCACGCCCGAGCAGGTCGTCGAGCAGATCTGCAAGCTGGCCAAGAAGGGCGCCACCCCCTCCCAGATCGGTGTTGTCCTCCGTGACTCGCACGGCATCGCCCAGGTCAAGGTTGTGACTGGTAAGTGCAGGCGCGGGGCGGACGGCGTCGGGAAAGGAGGAAGCTGGTTGCCGAAAGACGTACTGACAAGCGCCCGTTTCTCTTAACAGGTAACAAGATCCTGCGCATCCTCAAGTCGAGCGGTACGGTTTGAACGAGCCCACCCCCTCTGCCGAAGCCCGAGGGCGACACATTCGAATGCCGCCCTCTGGCCCGCGCGCCATCACACCAAAAGAAACAACACAGCGGGATCCCGTGCTCGGTAGCCCCCCGCGGCTACAGGGACGGGGTCTCTGCGTTGATGCCTCTGCTTGGTCATAGACTGACGGAGTGATAATTATTCCAGGCCTCGCCCCCGATATCCCGGAGGACCTGTACATGTTGATCAAGAAGGTTGGTGCCGACTCCCAGCGGCGAACTTGTTGCTTGTCAAACGTGTGTGCTGACTCTTCCCACTCCCCCCGGCCAGGCTGTCTCGGTCCGCAAGCACCTTGAGCGCAACCGCAAGGACAAGGACTCCAAGTTCCGCCTGATTCTGATCGAGTCGCGTATCCACCGCCTGGCCCGCTACTACAAGACGGTCGGCGTCCTGCCCCCCACCTGGAGGTACGAGTCCGCCACCGCCAGCACCATCGTTGCGTAAAGCAGCGTCTGTGTGACGGGCGTGTGGGGGAGGGGTTTGCGAGCGCGGCGCGCCCACTCGGCCGTGCGGCTCGGCATTCCGGTTTTCTTGGCTGGGACGGTCACAACGGAGTTTGGGGTGGTTATGGGTTCCTGCAAATGCATTTGGAGCGACAAGTTCGGAAAAGGCGCAGAGGCGCCGTGCCATGTTCCCGGCGCGGGTCTTTTGTGTCACTTGGGGACGCCAAAAAATGGCAGCTCCGATCTATAGGACTGAAATGGAAGAAAGTCCTACCCTACAATGGTGTCGTTGAGAAGCAATCAACTCCCTAACCCCGCCGCCCAAAGCTGTCTGTCTGCGTTCATATCTGATTACGCGCTAGTGTTCAGGGCCGTATGTGTATGGACCGCTTGCATCCCCCGTCCTGGTCTTGTGATACGTTGATACATTTCGTTCAGAGTGCGGTCCATCGTGGTTCCCAGTTGCTACCTGTAGTGTCCTGCGTTGAACTCGAGTTCCGATGCACGGTCGACTTAGACGGCGGGCTCAAGCTCCTTCGAACGCTGGAGTAGGAACTCTCCCAGTACTCGCAAGGGGTCCTTGGGCCTAATGAGTCGGTGGTTAGAACTATGGTGGATGAACACTTCACTCACTCTCATTCGGGAATCATTCGGGAGGAACGGTGGGGGGGAACTGAACTGTTCTTTTGCGATGAGCTTCATGCCCTCCAGCAGGACGCCCGTGACCTTTGTGTTGAGGTAGCGCCTCGCGGGGGCGCCGTGCGGGGTGGCCTCGGCGGGCATGACGAAACCCGAGTCGGGCGGGTGCTGCGACGTGGCGCGCGAGCCGGCGTCCGGGTTGGCCGAGCGCATCGTCGGCGTGCCGGTACGCGGGGGCGGCAGCGGCGACGAGGCCGCCGTTGCTCCCGTGGCCGTTGCTGTTGCTGCTGCTGCCGCTGCTGCTGGCTGGGCCGCCGGTGATGGTGCAGTGGCGGCGGCGGCGGCGGGCGATATCGGTTGCGGTTGGTTCGGGAACTGGGGCGATTCGGTCGATATCGCGGCGGCACCTTGGGTTGCGGAGAGCTGTGTGGGAGGGGGTGAGGGTTTTGGTTAGATAGGGCTGGCGTGTTTGCTTGTTGTGTGACGTGGGCAGGGAGGGAGGGATCACGAGGAGAAGATGTCGATAGTAGGAGGTGGTTTGCTTGGTCGGAGGCTTGGTTGGATGTTTGCATTTGGCGTCTGGGGGCCGCACAGCAGATGGGCGATGTATATAGACGACTATGCCATCTTGCGGCGCCCGCCGAATTTCCACTCGGAGACCATGTCGCGGGCGGTCGCATGGCCATAGCTAGGGTACGGGCACTTAAAAGAAGTCAAGGGGTATCTGGCAATGGCAGCTTACACTTGCGAGAGCACCATCCGACGGCGCCACGCCCGTCGCATCGGTCGTCGGGGGCGGCGCCGTAGCGGCCTGGAAAGCTGCCGCGGCCTGGCTGATATCCGGCTCCTGGTCGGCCGCGGGCGCAAAGGCTGCCCCGTCTTCGTCCATGGGGTCTGGCTGTGACATTGTACTACTCGAGGGGCGCGGATTTGCCCTGTATCTCTGATAATGGTTGGCGACGGGGGCAGTGATGGGGAGGGGTTCCGTGCGGATGGGAGCTGTTCCCAGCATCCACTGGTTTTAGCAGACATTGAGTTCCATGCATTATTGCGAGGTGGGGCACACCCCTGTACACACTCGGAGCTGCCTAGCACGACAGCACGTGCTCTCGCGTCCCTCCGTCGTCCCTCAGCTCAGCTCCTCATCTCCCGACGCGTTTCGTCTGCCTGGCGAGACTGAGCTGGTTGCGACTTGCCCCTCTTTGCGAACCATGGATGCTTTCGTGAAAAGGCTTTCTCCTTCAACTCTTGCAGGGGGAGCAAGAGCGTCCAAGCGACCCAAAACTGATGTCCCTAATCATGCCGTCGGTAACGATGAGGAGACACCAAGAGAGTCTGGCGATGACCGCGCCCGGCCCTCGTCCCGCCCCAAAGCATATACGGACGTGGAAGCGGATACAGAGGCGTCCGAACTGGGCCTCGGGCCCGACGTCGACGACTTCAACACCCCGTTCGAGAGCGCGCTGCCGCCTCCATTTGAGGCAGGCCAGGACGCCGTCGACACGTACGAGACGGCGAGCGGCACGGAAGAGGCCCTTCTGGAGGACACGCTGTCGGCGAGGCTCGAGGCGAGGAACTGGGTCAAGGGGCGGAGTTCCATCTATGTGGACGCCTTCAACCTCGCGCTCGAGACGGTGCTGTCGGACGAGGCTTGCCTCTTTGACGCGAAGGAGACGGCCGTCTTCGACGCCTGGAGGGCGCTCGACTACGGATCCCAGTACCTGTCGGTCTACCGCCGCCGCCCGCCCGCCCGCCCGCCAAGAAGCCGATGGTCGCTGACAGCAGAAACAAACCGTTGCTAGGTACGTCCGCCTCTTCCTGCGCAAGACGGCTGCGTGGCACCGCTCCGGCTCCCTGGCCTCGTACTCGGACGTTGTGGACCCCGCAGCCGCGGTGCAGTCGCTCCAGGAGTGCAGAAAGCTTCCTACCGGGGTGCCTCTGGACTGCCCAGATACTCCAGCTTGTGTAGAGCCAGAACGGGACGCCCTGGGCGACACATTTGCGTTTGCCGACTCTTCCAGTGACTTTGTGGCCACCGTCGAAGAGGCTCTATCCCTACTGAATCTCGACGAGCTCAAGGTGCTGGCAAAGGAGTGCAAGGTGCAGGGTCGGAACAAGGCCGAGCTACAGAAGGCGCTGTGCCGTGCGAGCTCTCGGCAGGTGTCCCTTGCCTCGGTCGGCCTGAGGCGGACCAACACCGGCGGGTCTACCCCTGACGTGGCCGAGTCTCCCGAAAGCCAAGACCGGGAATCAGGCAACTTGAGCCACCGTGCTAGGCTTCTCGGCAATATTCTTGCCGTCACCGGCCCCTGCATCAGGCTCTCGCCTTTGGTGTTTAAGCTATTCGAGAGGGTCCATCTTGTCTTTTATAGGTCGACCGAGTGGACTGAGAAGTCTCTGACCACGATAATCCTCGCCAAGATGTCGCGGAGAAACTTCCCCGAGTATATAGTGTGCAGGTCTGCCAACATATTCACTTCGCGGCGCATGCTGTTGGAATTCGAACAGGCGGTTAGGACCCAGTTCGAAGTCGACAAGATGCTCGAGAGTGGGCCGCCCGGTGAGGCAGGCTTCCGCGAAGTGGTCCGCCTTTTCAGCGGTGTTGCGCCCCGGTGGCGCGAGCTCTTGCGGGAGGAACAGGTCAAGGAGGACCAGGTCTACGACGCGGGCGAGGGTTGTTACCTCCGCCGATTCAACGCGGCCCATGCCTTTACTCGCATCGCCCACAAAACCGCGTATGCGTATGGGCGTCTCCACGAGTACAAGGAGGAGCACGCCCTGCTTACGGAGCTTCTCGACCAGCGGCTTTTCCACATGGCCCGGCGCGGGTCGTGGTACCAGCGCAAGGCTCTGCTGGAGGAACGCTACATGGTCGAGGCCGAGGACCCGAGCCTGGTCGCCGGAGCGAAGCTCGAGCAGGAAAGGAAGCGTTGGCGGCGTATCGCCGTAGCTACGTGCGAGACTGCGCTGGAGGACCGGGACTGCCACCTGATATTCCACTACGACCTCCAGAAGCGGCTCGTGAAGCTCGAAAGGAGGCTTAAAGTCCCACGACGGTTGCAGCATGATTTCGGACATGTGCGCTTGAGGGCACCCGAAGAGCACACTATCGAGGGCATTCAGGTCATCCGAGATCAGGAGGCCGGACCCGGGAAGCTGGGGCGCGGCCAGAGCACCAAAACGATATGGATAGACGAGCACGAGGACGGGGCGGAATGCTCGGTCGAGGAGATGTGCCTGTCGCACTACCGGAAGCAAGGCTGGAAGGGCTACCACGCCGAGGGCGGCATCCTCCGCACCATCTTCGCGTACCTCTTCTACGACATACTCTTTCTCTACATCCCCAATGTGTTCCAGACAGCGTACCAGGCCTGCCCCCTGGACCTCCACACGGACGCCTTCTACGCGGCGCGGGCGAGCGAGATCAACCACCGGCTGGTGGAGATCGGCAACGGCGGGGCGGCGGCGATCCTGCGCCGGGTGCACGAGCGCGAGCGCGAGCGGCGCACGTGCGTGGTCGGGCTGAACTGGGACTTTGCGCTCGAGGACCTCGCGGAGCTGGTCGGGAGCTTCGGCGGCGAGGCGCTCGCGGCCGTGTGCAAGGTCATGGCGCAGGAGTACCGGCAGCGCGGGTCCGGGATGCCCGACCTGCTGCTGTGGCGGGCGGGTGAGGTCATGTTCGCCGAGGTCAAGAGCGCAAACGACCGGCTCAGCGACGCGCAGCGGCTGTGGGTCCACGTGCTGACTGCCGCGGGCGTCCGCGTCGTGCTCGCGCTGGCGACGGCGCGCGAGGCCCGGAACTGCGCCGCCGCCGCCGCTGCCGCCGCGCCAGGGCGAGCCTGTGGGAGGGGTGGTGTGGCAACAGTGGTGTGAGGTCATATCAGGCGGCCGTTTCTTCTATAAATGGAATGGAACACATGAGCGAAGCTTTGAACTCTGAAACACGACCATCCAACCCTGGCCGGTGCCGCTGCAGAGGGGAACGTGGTCTACTACTGGGCGCATCGCCAGGTGTTGGTACCTGCTTCGCTGGGAAGCACCCGTGTTTCATCTCGGGCTGCGGGATCGCGGGATCCACGCCAGGGGAGGGGGAGGGGGAGGGGGGAGGGAGTGGAGGGGAGGAATGGAGGGATGGAGGGATGGAGGGAGTGTGGGTAGGGTAGGCGCGGGCTAATCCGGTGACCTTCGGGGAATATTCAACTGTCTGCTATGGGTAGAGCTGGCCGCCTGCCTAGGTACCTACATACCATACCCTACCTGCCCGGCCTGCCATCCATTCTGGACACGGCTGCCTCTGCTTGGTTGGTTGGAGGGTTCGTGGGTGTGACTTCGGAGCGGAGCCACGGCCAATCACCAACCTTGGACCTGGAGATTGGCGACGAGATCGAGGCAGGGGGGGTGTTTGTGAGTCTACGTAGTAGCTATGTATCATGTGCTCTTTGCTATTATTATCTCCATCACTTAATTTTTTTCTCCTCTCGAGTCCTGTCGACAAATTGCGATGCCGTCAACAGCGAACTGACGATAGCAAAGGAAGCTGAGAGGTGCCAAAATTGGCATCATCGGCTTGGTAGCCCTTGATTGGGCGTCCCGGTGGCGGTTCGTCCGACACAAAATTGGCAACAACAGAAAAGAAAAGAGAAGGGGGGAAAAAAAAAAAGAGACCTCTTCCTCTGCTGCTGCTGCTGCTGCTGCACATCACACGTCAAGGGCAGCCTAGACCCGGCGCTTAACGTGCGCCCCCGCCCCAGCCAATCAGACGCCGCAGGCCCGCGGGCGTGCAGCTTGCGTCCTGTTCGTTCCTTTGCATGCATGCTGTCTGCAGCACAACACCAGCCAATGGTGGGGCGTGGAAGCGCGTGCTTCTGGAGGGGGGGGGGGCCCTGACAAGTCCGGCGCTTAAACTGCCATCCACACCACCCCCCCTCACCCCCTTGCCATGCGCGTGCCGACGACGGCGGGCGACCAATGGCGCGCCGCTGCCCGCTTGCTTCCCACCGCACCGTCGCTCTCCCGATCTGGGATGGGTGATGGGATGGGATAGGATGGGATGGGTGCGGCACACACCCTTCCTTCCCTTCCCTCCTCTTTGTGCACATTCCCATGCCCCCATGTCCCATCCCAATTCTTTTCAAGCTGTTGTGATGTGCTGTGCCGTCCTTTTTTTCCTTTCTTTTTACTTTTTTTACACATGACCCGCCCGAGGTGGGAAGGGCCATGTATCAGTGTAGAAGGGGGAGGGCTAGCTGTCCCCAATCCCACTGTCCCGCTGGTACGTACTCTGCAACGTCATCCGCCTCTTGGATCTTGGATGGCCGAAGAAAAGGGCCCGCCGGTGATCGCCATGTCTCCAGTAGGTCACCGAGGACGAGACCGCGCCCACTTGGCCGCGCACACGGCTGAATGGCGTGCCCGCGACGAAAATCAAAATAAATAAACAATCAAAAGGCAAATGTTATGTTTTTGTGTGTATTCGTGATTCCCACCAGTCAGCGAGTTCGGAGGATCGGATGTGCATGTACTATCCCATCGACAAATGATATCGAAGCGTAGATGGTATGTACCTGGTGGACAGAAACAGAGACAGAGGCAGTTGGGTTCGAGTATCGTGTTGGGACTATGGCACAAGATCGAAACACAGGCGGGCTTCAACAAGAGCCCAATACAACGCCGCCAAGAACTCCATGTCATTCCCAAGCAAGTGAGAGGTTTGGACAGCCGTGGGCAAAGTCGACACCGCCCTCTCTTGCTTTTGACCAAGATGCCCTCCTCCGCTTTTGACCCTGCACCGACTCCGTAGTTCGATGGCAAAAAGAGGGAAGACGAAAGAAACAGACAAAAAAAAACAGAATTCCTTCCCACCACGCCCATCAAGTACGCCAGACGCTGAAACTTCTCATGTTTGCCATCCATCATTCATGCAAGCCAAATGCTGTGTGTCCAGCATTTGGCGGGGTTGGTTTGGGGGGGGGAGAGAGGAGGGGTAATAAAAAATACGGTTAAGAAAAAGGCGTTGGAGGTTGTTCGTGTGTGCACAAAGGGTCGAGCAGTCTCGCTAGGAGACGAGCCCGGTCCTCATGCTGGTATCATCTATAGATTTGACGGTCGATAGGCGGTGGTACGGGGTCGTCGCTAGAGTCATGCCCTTGGTTCCGGTATCGTCCGGTGATTTTGGTGCTCGGCGCTCGAGCGTCTTCATATGCGCACCGTCAAGGGCGCTTGGTTGTGTTATGAACAAACGGAATGATTAAATGGCGGGAAAAAGGGTTGGTAGATGTCGGCAAGAATGCGAGACGATTAATCGGTTGGCTGTACAACAGTAACAACCTCACTGGACTTTCCTCCTCTTTCCCTTGGGCGCAGGGTCCATGCGCGGGGTGTAGGTGACTGTCCTCGTGACCACCTCGCGGATATGCCTGACGCTGGTGCGGGGTGTTGCCGCGGCCTTGCTGCAGCCTTGGAGGTGGCCGTTGCTGCTGACCTTGTTGGCCTCGTTATACCTCCGCGCCTTCAGCGCAGCTTCCCAGTCGAACGGGGAGCGCACAGAGCGGGCGCTGAAGGGCGACTGGACGGGCGAGTCGACGTTCCCTGTGGCTGGTGAGGGCGGAATCCTCATGCTTGCGAAGGTGGTGGCGCCAGTTGCGGGGGCGGACAACGGGTGGTTGGCAAAGGGTGATGCGGGAGCGTTGGCCGGCTTGGCCGTCGGGGACTTGTGGATATGGTCGCAGTCGCATGAGCACTCGCTGGCGTCGCTGGTTGCCGTCGACGGTGCGCTGTCGATCAGCTCGCCGTCGGTCCTGTCCTCGGCCGCCTCGTCCGACGAGGGCGACTTTGTGCTGTCGTTGGACTCGGATGACGACGTCCGGCTCAGCTTGGACTTTGCGCATCCGGCAGTCGGCGGCGGGCTGGCCAGGACGGGGCTGGCCAGCTTCAGAAAGTCGAGGTATGCGATAGGCGGGGTGATGGGCGTCTTGGCCAGCGCCTCCTCCGTCTTGATCATGGCAACGGCGCTGAATGGAGAGGCCATGCCGGCCGACGGGAGACCGGCAGACGGCAGGCCAGCCGAAGCAAGCGGGTCGCGCAGCACGGCCGACAGCGGCGTCTTCATGGAGACTGCCGAGGCCAGGGCTTCGGCAGGGAAGGACGCCGTGACGGGCGTGGTGAGCGCCGGAAGCTTGGGCTTGGTGGTCGAAGGCATGTTGACGAGTGTGTTATGCCGGTGATCAAGGCTATCAAGGTCCAGTCAAGCGAATGACTTGGAGAGCAACCTACGACAGGATGGAACTGTCAAGCCGACTTGCCCTGGAGGGAAGGGGAGGCAGGAAGAGTCGGCAGTTGTGGGGGGGAAAGGATGGAGCAGAGGAGACGAGAGGGCGGGCGGTTGGTTATATTAGGAACCGGGTGCGGTTCGCCCGGCGGTAAAGCAAGCAGCGGGCTTGGTCCGGAGGTGAGGCAGGCAGAAGGCAAGGGAGACAAGGTACCTAGGGAGACAAGGTACCTCGACAAGGTGGGCAAGTGCCACGAGCCAGGGGTGGAGGCAGGACGAAGCGCCAGTGGGTACTTGTGTCTGTTGCTGTCCCTCCCGGATCCCCGCGCGCCTGGGCGGGTCGTAATGGGTCGTAATGTGATCCGAATCGATGGGTCGTCGGGGGTGGCAGGACAGGGGAGCGAGAGTGGGAGAGAGGGCGCTGACAGGGTTGATGGTGCTAAAAGGGAGGAAGCGCGGGCAGAGGTGGGGGGTGGGCTTGTTGCGTGCCACCAGGGCGCGCTGGTTGGCTGATGGGCGTCTGGCGCTTCGGCGGGATCGCTGAGTAGGGGTCTGGCCCGTGTTGTCCCTCTGCGGTGCGGTGCTTGTGCTTCGAGCCCAGGTAGGTGCGTGTAGCGACAGGTAGCTACAGGTTGCTAGCTTCTCACTCAGTGTTAATTATCCCTCTTTTGTCTCTTTGGCGCCTGTCATCCGGATGTGATTGGCTAGCGGAGCGCTCCAGACAGACGGCCCAGCGCCAGAGCAGGCAGGGTCCAGCAGGCAAAGCAGGCAAAGCAAAACAAGCCGAGGAGGAGAACAAACAGAGCAGTCCACCAAAACCGACCCCGGTCCTGGCGTGCGTGCATTCGTGCGCTCCCCCATCGAGATGTGCTGAGACGTGCTTTAGCCCTGCATTGCAGTTGCTGCGAGCTCGGCCGCCGCCTGTGTGGGCGCAGCCGCCTGGCGGTTGGAGTGACTGGCACTGGCTGGGCCTGGCTGCCGAGCTGGCCAGCGTACGTGCCAGCCCACTCGCAGGTGCATGGGCTAGGCAGGGCATGGAGGGTAGAGGTGGAGGGTGGATACAGCCAGCCGGCGGTACATCTAAAGTACCAGCTTGTGCCGCCTGGAGCAAGCACACACTTGGGGCTGGGGTTCCAGGCGCTGTCCAGTCGGGTCGCGTCCGCCCCTGGCTGGAGTCGCTAGCTCCGTTGGCCGCCGTCCCCTTTCTTCGTCTCCCCCAGCACAGGCTCTGGCGGGCCGGGTCGAGCGATGGGATGGACTGAAAGGCCGGGCGACAAGGCGATGGGATGGGATGGGAGCCACGGAGCGCAAAGAAAGTCTGACGTACCTAGGCACTGGGCCAGGGGAGGGGCCGAGTGAAAATGCCCGGCGTCAAGCTGCACGCTGCACGACGCTCTGTGTCCAAGGATTGGCCGACGCGCCGGGAGCCAGCGACGTCGTGGAAGCAAGTGCCGGGAGCCCAGTCTGTGATTCGCCAGCTGCCACGCCCCGCGACGTGATCAAATCCTCCCCAGTCTGCGTGCTGTGCCCCAGAGGTCAGCCATCGCGCGTCCCTCAGGTCTGCCGGGGGAGGGGGCTAGGGGGCTGGACATGCTAAGGCCAGCTTGGCTAGCCTAGCCAGGTCCTGAAGCAGCCATTGAGAGCACATTGGGATCGCAGCACCAACCTGGAAAATTGAAGAAGAAAAGTCGATCAGTGTAGCGCCCCACTCCAAGCGGGGGGTTCGACGCTGGTTGGCTGTCCGGCAGGCCTTCGTTAGCGCTGATCAAAGTGCCCTATTCTTAGCCCACGGCCCCGTGATTGGCCTGCAGCCATGACCACCTCAAACCCCCAGGTATTGCTGCGCTGCTGCCACGGGCTGCCCGTCATATCGACCTCGTACCTCGTTTGCCTCTCGTGGCGTCTTCGGAGAGGGCGACCTGGAATGACGGTAAAAATAACAGCAGCGGCCCGAGACAGCCCTTTCGCTACCGGTCTTGGGTGGTGCGGAACAGAGGGGGTAATATTGATTGATGATGGGCAATCTCGATGTGGTAGGTGCTTTTTATCTGGCTGCGGAAGGAGGAAACTTGCTGACTCGAGAAAGAATCCAGCCAAAATATGATGCGGAGATGGAGATCGAAAGGGGAAAAGTAAGAGAAAGCAACCAGGAGCCGATGTGGTCTACACTTCTTGGAGTTGACCACGTCGAAACCGAGGGGGGGATATCGCTCAACATATACGATCCTAAACTCCCACCTCCATCGAAACTGCTTCGATACAGCTCTATCCTCCTGCCGGCGGCTAATCCACCGGCCGCTCAGTCTCCGTCCCCACGCGACCCTCGTGGCGGCCGCGCTTGCCAGGCCCTGTCGTAGCCGCCGCCTGTTGAGTCGGGAGCCGCCAGGAACAGACGCAAGCGTGTCGGCGCCGTCGTCCGCATGCCTATGGCCACCTTGCCACACCCGCGCGGGTCCTAGGGGCGAGGCCTGCGTCTGTCCAGGTGCCCCGGGGATGCTGCAGCACCCCATTCGCGGGCGCCATGGGTAATTGGCCATTTTTGGACTATGCTCGCTAGTTCCATCTGGCGAACACCAGCTTCCAATCATTCCGTGGGAAAGGGTCATGTTGCTCGTCCCGCGCCGGCGCTTCGGGAGCTGTGCTTGCGATGCCACGGCGTACTAGACGATATAGTCGCTTGCTCTAGCATCCACACCGCCGGCTTGAGGCGGTTATCCTTCCTTCCATCGCTCATATCCACCTCCCCCTTGGTAACTTACTCGTGGATTTCACTAGCAGTCCCGCGTGACGTGTGTTCCTCGGACTCCATATGGAGCAGTCCAAGTTCTCGCCAGGCCATGTCGTTGAATGGTCCAGGGTGAAGGATCGTCCGCGGAGGTAGGTTCATGCCATACTGGCTGTCCGTACAGTCGCCCGGTTGAGGCATTCTAAGGGCTTGACTATACTTGTGTGGTGGTAGATGAGGCCACCACACTCTGGCCATACTTCACGGGCAAGGGCTTGCACTTCATATAGACCACCGCGTAGTCCTTGAGCGATAGGCACTCGTATGGGATACCGGGAGGGACGTTGGAAGCAGGAGATGTGACATATGATACGTGTGGACATAGAGTGGTCTAGCTAGTATATACTAACCTGCAGACTTCTCATTAACGTCGGGCCAGCATGCATGGCGTCCGTCTTAAAGTTACCGGTCCAGGTAGCCATCACTTTCACAGGGCGATGCTGAAGCAAGCCATCTACAGATGAACTCTTGAGCTGTCTACCTGCCCAGTGATCTGCCTTGGCCGACAGGTATCTCGAGCAAGGTCTAACACTAGATACCATTAATCCGACATGTCTTTCTCCCAAGTATATAGTGTGCATATTCGGTCGACGCGAGCGACCGCTACCAACCCCAGCCCACCTTCCCTTCATGTATATCTCAGCTAGGTATATGACATTCGATTTCATCTTTCACCCAATGCGTTTAGATATATTGCGGCTGCCTCCACACGCACGCATCGCTCGCATAGAGCCAAACGTAAGCTCGCCGTTCAATATCTTGGTACATTGGGTTATTAATTGCGAGTCCCTGTGAGGACATGGATCAGTGTTCGCTGCGCTTCCCAACCCACTTCCGCAGAGGCAGTGAATGGGCCGATGGAGTGTCAGGCCAACAACATGGCAAAGATTGATACCGACTATCCATGAACTTGCAAGACCCACCTCTGATATTTCTTGCGTGTCTCGTCATATTAGACATGCGCATAAGAGTGCGTAGGACATGACTACTCATCATAGTCTCCTGGGCCCAAAGCAGGCATGCAGCAACAGAAGATGATGGGTGGTCGTCAAAATGAGGGGATGGCGTCGGATTACCTGCCTGCACTTATCCGCCTCGATATCCTCCTTCCATCGCTCAGTTACTTTATCTAGTTGTCTCTACTTGGATGAATGCGCCTATCTGTTACTTATCTGCCTGTTCGGACATGTAGTTACCCCTTTGTATTTTACTGTGTCCCTCCCGTTTTCTTCTAGTTTTTATTGTTTTCCTGGTTGCTTTATCTCGTCAGCGGCCGGATCGCTGTGCTACTGATACTCATTAGCCGGCCACCAAATGCAATGGCAGTGTGCTCAATGGGGATGTTCATGATGTATACGGCCAACGACAAAATTAAATCTGACCAAACCACCATAAACCATGCATATTTTGAAATTGGTACAAGCGCTTATATCGGAAAGGAATTGTCGAACGTGTCAACATCACATTGAGATACGAAATGTCCATAACATGAGATATTGGATTTGCCTTCCGCCGACAATCCGATACGGGCCAGGTCCGCACACGACAACACAAGCGACTGTGATAACAATGTGCTGGTGTCCAAAACGGGGATTCGAAGGCTCCTCATTCGCCCCACAGGACCTTGCCACATTTGGACTGGGAGAAACATGGGCGGCATGAGTGAGTCACGGGCACGGCAGGTGGGCGCAATTCGGCGGGTGGAACTTGGCTGCTTTCAGGATTTTCCGGAAACAAGCCAATAACAGGCCAAGAAATGCAAAAAGGCCCAGCCACTCAAATAAATTGAAAATGCGCACTTTTCGGCCATTCATATGCCGCCAGCCTAACCAGGATTTGCAGAAAGCCGGCCCATAATTTCAACGAAATGTGTGAAGAACTGAAAGGCGACAGCAGGCGGCAGCAGGCGCACATCGGTTGAGAGGCAGATTGCGGTCCGGAGCGAAACAAGGCCATGTCAACAAAAATAAAACGGCCAGGCAGATCTCACCGACATTTAGGCGCACGCGCATGGCTGCTGTCAGTCCTGCGTGCTGCAGACAGGGGCTCCCAAGCAGGCTGGAGCAACTGACGCAAACCCTCGAGGCGGTGTTGGGAGTGAAAGGCAACCGCATCCAAGCCTGGGGGTTCACGATGGATGACGGGCCGTCATAACGTCCCCGTCGTACCATGGCTCACGTCGCACGCCCAAATCCGGAGATTTACCCTATTGCGGATACTGCTGACGTCTCGGCGACTGGGAGGAGCCTGCTAGAACACCCGGTGGTGCAAGCGCCGGGCCTGGGAGATTTTCGTGTGACGCCATGCGAAGGAATCCACCTAAATCTAACGGACATGGGGAGGAGGCGGCCGGAGAGACTTTGTTTCATCTGGCACTCCCTCCCATGGGTGGTCATGTTGTCTGTCCAGCTCGCTTCCTCGGATGCGCGCCTGTGTTTTCCTTCCAGCTGCCGACATCCTTGCGACGGCGATCTGTCGCGTCTCCACCTCGCGATCCCTTTTGCCTGCGACGCGATTTGGGCCCCGAGGGCTCGCGTCCATGTACGTGGGCTGAGGTACACAGTAGACAAGAAGCTGCACATGATGCAGGCGTCCGCCTCCGCCGGCAGCCGCACAGCCCACCTCGTGATACTCGCTCGAGGAACGTCTTGTGTCGTAGTGCACCAAATGTAGCCAAGCCCAAAGGTCAATTTGATGTGGAGGAAGCTTCGCTTGCGCGCGCACTGTCGTTGGCCCTCCTCTTCCATCATCGCCTGCGAGGGTCCCCCAGCCCCCCGCGCGGTCGATCGCTCGACACGAGCCAAGGACAGGCCTCTGCTGCCGCCTTTAGGCCGCCAGCGCCCATCCGGAGCGCACCGCCATGCCCCAGTGGGGCGGCCAGGCCCACCGGCGTAAGGCTGCGACAGCAGCGCAGCAGAACCTGATTAGCCGACAACAGAAAAACCTGCTGGCGCCCCACTTGGATGGCTGATTCATCCATTCATTGGCGTAAAAAGACTCTGGCCTGCCCTCAAATCATCTTTCGACTCTCCTCGTCTTCTTTCTCTCACGACCAATCATCCCCCAAAACGCCTCGGTCTCCATCCTCGACCAAATTCCATCAAATCAACATCCGCGCTCACCACAATCGAATTATTTCATTCGAGCAAATACTCCCGTCGTATTTTCCCGCTCCGCCAGTGACGTTTGGCGCTTGTTTATTTTATTGTTTTTGCGTTTTCTGCTTTGCGCGTATCGCCTAGCCCCCGCGCTTTGGTCTCTTTTGACTCTGGTAATTTTCAACCTTGAGCCCACCTACTACCTAGCCCTCACCCTCGACGCGACTGACGGGGGTGCCAGAAGCCCGTCACCGCACCCCCAATCAACTCGCGTGTGAGCGCACAGCGAAAGCTACCCCAACAGTCGCGCGCCACACGCCTGCACTGCGGGTTTCCATGCGCCAGCCTGCTTCTCGCTTGGTTGCTGACTAGAGCTTCTGCAAACAGAAGTCACCCGTTGGCCGCTTGGGATCCTCCTCGCTGGCGCCCACTGGAATTTTCCCAAAGAGGGGCATACACGGGATCTCTTGTGGCCTTCAGTTGTTGGGTGTGCATCTCCGATTCAAGTTTCGCATCCGACGTCTGACACGGCCCAGCCTGAGATATATCCCGTGTTATTGTCTCCGGAGAAGCAATCGACGCTGAGCAGCAGCCCTCGTCGCACCATAGCGCTGGCTCTTCCAAAGGTACGTTGCCGCATAACGGCTCGAGGACCTCTGAGAACCAACCAAACCCCTCCCTTCCCGTGAGCTGCTGCTTGGGCGCCCCTGGGGCCCCCCCACAACGCCCCGGCCAAGGACAGACGCTCGCTTCTGTGTGCGCCGAGGCAGGAAAATTACTGGCAAATCAGCACCTGGCCCCGAGCTTCGACTTCATCTTGAGCTTTTGAAAGACTCCCCATTTTGGAGGCCTATCACCATCTCCAGCTTCACCCTCGTCCCCATCATTGGCCATAACCCTGGTCAGGTGATTGTTCCTCCCTGCGGAGGCCAATTACCTGGCTGCGCATTCAGTTTCATGGACCTGATGGTATTCGCAGCAGGACAGATTTGAAAGAGAGCTCTTGGTCGCCGCCAGGATCGCTCAAAAAGAACATCGGCCCAGTGTCAAGACAAGTCCGCGTGCTAGCCGACAAGGCCTTGTTAACAACCTGCCCAACCCGCTTGGCGTGCTCGCCAGCGTCCAACTTGGTAAGTGAAGGAGCGCACGCCTCCAGACCTGCCGATTTGCAGAGTTGCCTTGTTTGTGCCCCCTCTTTCCATCCTGCCCACCTACAGCCGCATTTGCCAGTGCGTCGCTCCCCATCCGTCCGCGCACCCCGTTGTGGCTAGGTCCACACCGCCGCACTCCCTCCCACCCTATGTTTAGGTGTCCACCCCCCTCCCTCGCCCGCCCAAATAAGCAGCGACTCGCTGCCGAGCTTACCCAGCGAGCCCTCTCTGGCTTGCGGATGCTGTCATGCGGATTTCCTTATATCATCCTCCTTCCGGCAGATGCTCATTGTGGCCTGCTCCGTTCTCGCGACGTCAAAAACTCGTTTCTATGAAACCCGCCTCTCTCTGAGCATCCCTACCCCACGGGTCATCTTGAACAGCCGTTTACACCGCCGGTTCCCCAGACCTCCCCACCCACCACCACCACCACCACCACCACTAAGCCCGCCTCGGGCTGTTGTCGACCTACCTTGACAACACGGTACGCTCGCATCACCCCTACTTTACATCCCTGCCCAACACGCCCATCCCAGCGTCTATCCACCACACCCAGCATGGCTTGCCACTTGCATCACCCTCTCACGGCGTCGTTCCTCCTGCCGAGGCCTCCACCGCCCATTGAGCTGGCGTCCTACCTCCATGATGTGTCGGTACCTAGACCTCCTAGCTCTCCACCAGATCGCATCCCCACGCAGTAGCTGGCATTTCTTTGACACCTCGGCATCTGTTGTCGAGAGCCCACGAGAGTGGCTGCCAAGTAGCAGCCGTCATCGCACGACGACAAAGGGATGATGTTGGGCGATCCGACCCTCGCGCCTCGGTTCTCCCCGTCAGCCAGTCTGTGTGCGTCATCTCGTAACAGGCTCTTTGGCCTGCCGTGTCAATCGAGGCTCCCAGTAGGTGTCACAGCAAGGATTTGTGGTGACCTGACGGCTCTCTGCAGATTCGAAGCTTGTGGCTGTTCGGGTTGTCAACCTCGCCGCTGTCTTCACTTCACGTCCTTCCATTTTCCATTTTCTGCTTTGCTTATTTTTTTCCCACCGTACTTTTTCTTTGCTTCTTTCTTTTCTCCAACGCCACTGAGGTGATGTGTTGCAGTTTCTTACTGGGTTCCTTGCTGCGTTTCCTCGCCCGGAGGCCACCGGGGAGTGCCAGCAGGGATCCCAGCCGGCGTGGTTCCAACTTCCAAGCGGGAGTGTTGCTGAGCTGGTCGGCGATGTGGGGCCCCTAGTGTCTGGAGCCTGCATATCCCGTCATGCATGCCAGCGCATCAAATGGTGGCCCAGGGTTCCGTCCGAGGCGCCAAATTCACTCGCCCATCACCGACCTCCACCCCCTCTTCTCGCTCGCCACTTATATCTCGCAACATTTTCGGAGCTGACAACCCTGGTTGGATAGATCTCACAACGTAAAACCCGAAAGCCCCAAGTACTGGCTGGCTGATTGAACCGTCGCCCACTGGCTCCTCTGGCCACTGAATAATTCTCGCGCCGTCCCGCACGCAGGCCGGTGCTCTGTCCCTGCCTGCGACAACAAGGTATCGCTGCTACCTGCCTACCTTGGTGCTCCCTCCCTAGCCACAAGTCGCCAGCTATTCACGTGGCTCTGCCCTCCATTTTCTGTTCGCCCCATTGCAGCCCAGGGCCTAGCCACAGCCCCCTCCCGTTACAAACGAAGGGCTACATCAGCTCGCATATGCCACGGCGCAGCCAATCAAAGGTTGCTTCGCCCACCCAGACAGCTGCCAGCGCATCCACGCATACCCAGCAGATTGGGTGTGCACATCCCAACCGACGTCGCGGGTACCCAAGTGACGACAGCCCTGCTCAGCGCATGCCCAACTTGGCCTGGACCCTTGGTGAGGCTTAATCCTTTCAAAATCACGTCCGGACTTCGCCCCTCCCACAAGGTTCGGTCCTCCGCAGTCAAACGGCCCCAGCTCCCTCTCAGCTTTTGCCTGCTTTATCTGTCCTCCCACCAGCTATCACAGCCCTCGGCTCCACCAATCTCGCGCCAACAAAGGATATACAAGCTTACCGGACGCGCAACGCGAACGGTCCACATAGCTGCGCGGACCACCCTCGACACACCCCAGCATTCGCCTTTACTGGTCACGGCTGTTGTCGGCGCAGTACCCCAGTCCCAGCTTCCAGTATGATGGAGTACGCGCAATACCAGCCAGCAACCCAGAGCACACATTCTGCATATCAGACCTCGGCGGCGTCCAACAGTATCACCTCGCCGTCCCTCCAGCACGCACACCAAGCCTCCCCGATCCTCTCCTCGCAAGCCGCGCAGCAGTCGCAGCAGCAGCCACAACAACAGCAGCAACAATCCCAGCCGGCCAACGCGAGTCAAGGGCACACCATGTATCAATCACAGTACGGCGTGCCTCAACAGGGCATGCATTATGCCATGCCCCAGATCCAAGCCGCCGCGCTGGCAGCCACCGCCGCGGCGTCAGGGTCAGGCTACCCTTATGGCGTTTCCCAGGATCCCAGCCTGCAACAAACATCGCCCCGGATCGCTGGGGCAAACGCCAAGAAGGATACCAGGCCTGGACCGCGGTCGCCGCAGCAGATGAACAACCTGCCGCAGCGTCGCCTGAGCCAGGTCACTAGCCCCGGAGTTCCGAACGCGCAAGCCATGATGAACCACGCTGCCGCTCGCCCTGGCGCCGCGCCGCCTCCGATGCCCACACAACAGATGCACCCTCCACCGCAGTCGCCCGAGATTCAGCCTGGTGCTGTCGAGGAATCGCCGCTCTACGTCAACGCGAAGCAGTTCCATCGCATCCTCAAGCGCAGAGTAGCGAGGCAACGCTTGGAGGAGGCCCTGCGACTCACGTCCAAGGGTCGCAAGCCTTACCTACACGAGTCTAGGCACAACCATGCCATGCGGCGGCCCCGTGGCCCGGGCGGGCGTTTCTTGACAGCAGATGAGGTTGCCGAGATAGAGAAGAAGAAGGGTGGGGGGGTTGATTCAGTCTCCAAGCCAGATGCCGAACTGGCAGCTGGCAAGGCGGAGACGGGAGGTGCGGGCACAAAGCGAAAATCTACCGCCTCGTCCAATGCGGCTAACAAGAGAACCAAAGTGGAAACGGAGAGCCCGGAGGATGACGACGACGATGACGCCGAAGACGACAGATGATCGACAAAACCCGGAGCAAAAAAAGAAAGAGAAAAAAAAGCAGCCATCACTGGAGCTTGAGGAAAAGACATTCCCAGAAAAAAATACACCAAATTCAAAACCACACCACAAAACAACAAAACCAACAACCCACCCCACTGGAATACAATGCATGCGCATCGCCTTATACCCCTCAGCTTTCTTTTGTTCGCATCATGACGTTACGACTCGACAGAGCTGGCTTGAGCTTCGGGACTCTGTTATCGGTTATCATCACACCACCATCCCCATCCCTTGATTATAGTTGCGGCGAATTGGCGAGGAGTCTGGCGGTCTGAAGTTATATCTCAACTCTACGAATACATCCTGCAGAGACCGGGCAACCCTTTGTTTGTCTCTTGCGTCATATTTTCTTGCCTTCTATTCTTCATGTCCTTTTATTTTAGGTCCATTTGTCTCTAAAAACGACACTGTTCACTTTATTTACAATTTCCAGCTGCTGTGCGATCTCTGTTGGATGGATGTGCTCACGAACATCGAGAGTCTGCCGCCGCGAGCCGCCATTTGGTTGGCGGCCGAACCCCCTCATTTCGGTCCTTTCTTGGGCGAGCCGACGGTGTTTGGCACGCCTAGCCTTTCCCGAATTCTTGGGAAGGTAAATTTTCTTGGGTGGTTATTCATGCTTCTGTCCAGGACGACGGGCTCGGGGATAGGAACATATAAGATTGGGAGATCTGGACATGGGTGGGAAGGCGGATGGTTGGGCTTGCAAGCATGGGCTGGGATTTATGCTGGCATCAGGGTCGGGTAGGAACTGTTTACGAAGCATATACATTCTATACCTAACATGTTTTCCTCCTTCTGCGGCTGGACTAGCAGTATATCTCTGGTATCTATCGAGATGGCAGTTAAGAATCTAATGTCTCGTCTCCAGATTCCCTTGCCGGCTGTCGTGAGCGGATCGCTTCATGACTGTGCTTTGTGTTTATGCTTGTAATGGCACAGGAAACACGATCAACGTTTGCCGCTTTGGTGACATCTGCCATTACACGGAAGTGAAGGGGAATGTGCCAAAATAAACGACAGGTGGGGATTGGACGAGGGGGGTCTGGTCCGTGCACAGGCTAAGGCGCTGCCACCACGAGCCAGCAGTAAATTCCCCGCTTGTCTTGGTCGGGGCTCGAGGGCTGCCTGCCTTGCCTAGAGCCAGCACGGAAAGCTGAGCAAGACATCCAGCCTCGTGCGCACCAAAGCATACAGATATCAGCCTCAACCCACCTGCCTCGGGATCTATCGCAAATCCCCTCCGGCTGGCTGCCCTGTCCAGAGACTTTTTTGTTTGCCCGCCCGACACTCCAAATTCCAGGGCCTGTGCCGCTTCACCTCAAAGATGCTTTTCTTTAGGTACGAACTACGAATCGTCTCCCAACCTTGCTGGCGTGCACGTGACCCCAACACGCCGCCCATGCTGGCTGTTTGGGGGATGCGGACATGGGGAGAGGATAGACACATTTACTGACCGTGGGGGGACGGGGCCGGCGGCAGCTTCTTCAAGACGCTGATCGACGTCGAGATCACGGTCGAGCTCAAGAACAGCATCCAGATCCGCGGCACCCTCAAGAGCGTGGACCAGTACCTGAACCTCAAGCTGGAGAACATCTCGGTCGTCGAGGACGTCAAGTACCCGCACTTGGTCAGTGTTGCCCTCCCCCTCCCTCCCATATGCATGCGTATGTGTGTGTATATTTTTTATTGTTTGGCTTTGCTGACATGACACCCTGCCGCTCGTCTTGCCCTGGGGGAAACACGAACCAGAGCGCCGTCAAGAACGTCTTCATCCGCGGCAGCGTCGTGCGCTACATCCACCTCCCGGGTGCGCATGTCGACGTGCCGCTGCTCGAGGACGCGACCCGGAGGGAGGCGGCCGCAAACGCGGCCAGCGCCGCGACCGCTGCGAAGCGCTGAAACCAAAAAAAAAGAAAGAAGGAAAGGGAGGTGTGTTGTTGCCGCCCTGCTTGGTGTGCCGGCGGTACCCCGTGACGCTCGGGACATACCGGGATGAAAATGTTTGGGATACCTATGACCATCTACTCCGGCGGCTCTAGTTGACTTGAGAGAAGCACTTTGCTCGCTTCGGTTCCCAACTCTTTGTCCTACGCATCACCCTGAAGAGGGCAGGCTGTGTCTCTTGGCCCTGGTTATTGGGAGTTGACTGGGGCTCACGTGCAGGATTTCGGTTGAGAATCCACGCAGGCCGCACCATGCAGGCAGACGGCTCCCTGAACGTCTAGGGCAGTCATGCTCTCGAGGTTTATGGACTGGGCAATTTTTGGTTTACCGAGGCACGCGATTGGTCGCGTTGGGATGTGTCGATACCCAACATTGCTGCGACGGCCGGGGCATATGGGGGGACCTGCTCTGAGTGGACGGGCGCTCCTCGTGTGGCGATGATTGCATGTTTTTGGTTATTGTGTATACTGCGTGTAGCCGAGGCTGTCGTAGAGGGATTGGAAGGTAGCAGAGAACGAAAAAAAAAAAAATGAATGACGACCACGACCCTGCATCACTGCCCAAACGCATCATTTGTTATTCAATATGCAGCCTAAAACTGCCTGCCAGACGCCGTCTACCAGATGCTGCCTACCAGACCACACCACCCCCTCTGCCATCCTTGCCGTCCCACAGCCGCGACGAGTTGTCCTTGCCAAGCTTGGCATCTCTGCCCTCGTCACCCTCGTGCGCTCGCCCTTGCCCTTGGCCATCAGATTCCTCAGGGTCCTCCTGCAGGATCGTCACGAGGCCTCCCCGGCGGCGCTCCGCCAGCCAACGGTCGGTCCAGGCCTTCATCCGCTTGCGGCCGACCTCGCTGCCGACGTTGACGGTCGGCACGACGCGCTCGACCTGCAGGCTCATGAGGAAGAGGGCGAGCTCGCGGAAGGAGCTGTGCTCGCTGTAGGGCACGCCGAAGCACATGGCCTCGGCGGTGCTCCCGCGCTGCGGCGCCAGGTGCCGGGACGTGTAGGCGGGCCTCCAGGCGCCGCCGTGCAGCAGCGACGTCGTGGCGACCGACGACGGCTGTGCGGCCGCGTTGGCGGCGGCGCCGGCGGGCCGGTAGTTCCAGCCCGAGGGGCGGAAGCCGATGACGCGGCCAAAGTGGGCGCGGTGGGTGGCCAGGTAGTCGGCGAGCGTCTCGGCGCGTATCTCGGCCAGTGCCTGCATGTGCACCTGCGCCTCGGCCGGCTTGGACGTCATGAGCGCCGCTAGCTCCGGGTCGCCTAGCTGGCCGATGATGCGGATCTTGGCGGGCGACGCGAAGATCTTTGTGCGCAGCGCCTGCGCGATGGCCTTGCAGATGCGCTCCTTGCCGATGCTGTACGTGCCGCAGACCACCAGGAGGCGCGAGCGGGGGTCGATGAGTGTTGACAGGGCGTTGGACGGGTCGCCGTCGTTGGTGCTTTGCCCGTTCGCTCGGCTGGGTGACGTCGTGCTGTCCCCGCTCGCGAAGAACCGGTTCAGCGTCTCGCCGATGGGGTTCCCTGGGCGGCGGCGTAGGATGTCTGCCCATACTGCGTCGTTCTTCTCCCGTAGACCGCGGTTCAGCGCCGCGCACAGCTCAGCGCACGAGCGGATCACGTCGTCCTGGGGCGGGAAGGAGTAGCGAGGGTTGAGGTAGGTCGTATCCAGGTAGCAGACGTCGATCTTCTGCGTCCTGATCTTGCCGGACACGGCGTCGGTGATCCTGGGCCGGAGCAGGGCATGGTCCGAGTGGGCCGGGCATGCTCGGAAGTCACCGCAGTGCAGGATCCGCTGGATCCTTGGTCTGTCCCCAGGGCGGCCGGGGGTTGTCTTCTCGAACAAGAAGAGCGAGCTTCCTGGACAGTGGTTTGCGGGAATCATGGTTACTGCCACGCCGTTGGTGTCCGGCACGACGAAGCGCTCTTCGAAATCCAACTCGACCACGTACTGGGCCGCAGTGCGCAGCTGCGACTTTATCAGGCTGCCGGTGACCTTACTGCAGTAGATGGGTCCGTGAGCCCACTTGGCAGTCAGGCCGATATAATGGTCGCTATGGAAATGGCTCAAAAAATAGGCCTTGCAGCCCTCCACTGCGCCGTACCGGAACGCGTCCACGCAGATGGAGAGGCCGGGCATGATCTTGTAAAACGGACATGTCCGTTCGTAGGCTTGCTTCCCTCGCGACGCGTGCTCGGAAGCCGCCGCAGTCGCCCAGGCCGTATCTTCGGCACGACTCGACATGAGCTTCGAGAATGCCGAGACTTTGGTGCATGACACGGGGCTGGCCCCTCCCAGGCTGATGGGGTTCGCCTGGCCAGGCCTGGCGACGGCTGCACGGGCGAACCGCTTACTCACTCGGGACGCATCGATGCCGTCTCCACTGTCTCCGGGCGGAGAGGCCGCCTTGTCGGGCGCGCTGGGAGGGCGAGGTAATGGCGTGGGGTTTCCATCGAGGCAGTTATTGACGTGAACTGTCGCCTGGTCCGCCGTTACACCAGCCAAACTGGCGTCGCAAATGGGGCAGCAGTTTTCGGCTGCTCCGGACTCCTCTAGCCCCATCGCGGGGTCAGGAGGGGAATCTGTACTGTCTAACACGCCCGCTTCTGCCGCTTCGATCCTGGCCTGCTCTTCCATAAACCTCCTTTCCCGGTCCTCCTCTCCCAAGTCGTCGTCGTAGTCATCCTCATCATTGTTGTAAATAACATCTGTATCGGGGACAGTCCCAGGCTCATTCGATCCCTGCTCTTCCTGTATTAGATTTGGGCCTTGGTCGTGATTTGGCGAGGGAGGATCGGGCGACAGACTCTTTCTGATACTGGTGTCCCGCGAGGCTGGCGCAGCTGGCGGCTTCTCCAACGGCGGCGCTTTTTCGTCTGGGCCATGCTGGTCGTCCTCGTCCTCTACATCTGAATCGTCAAGGAACGGGCCTTTCTTGCGAGGCTTCTGAGCTGTGGGGGCCTTGGGGGCTTCGGCCGCGCTCTTGGTTTCGGGCTGGGCGGGGTGCTCTGTGGGATTAGGGCCGTCTCGACTGCTCAGCTTCCTCCGCTTGACTGGCTCGTCGAATTCATTGTAGCGTGAGCTGTCGCCACCACCGCTGGTGCTCCCCTCAGTCTCGTCTGTAGTAGGTAGCGATTGGGCGTCGCCGATGAATAGGGTTTCCTCAGGCGCAGGCACTTTCTTGAAGAAGCTCAATATGCTTGCATTTGGTGCAGGCTTCTTCTTGGACAAGGGTGATTTCGTCGTCGAGAATGGCCTGGCTGCTGATGAGCGCAGCGTTTTTGACGATTTTGGTGCTGTAGGCGCCATTGCTGGCTCAGGTTCTGCTTGTTTTCCTAAAGAGTATGGGTGTCTCGAGAATGGGAAACGGCAAATCGCTCGGGAGGCGGCCGTCGCAAGGCTTTTTTTTTGCTGGTGATTTAGGGGTGGCAAATAGCAAATGGACAACGCGGAACCCTCAACGTCAAAGTCGTCACAGCCAGGCTCACAGCGAGGCGGCTTTACGCGGGGCTAGTCGCGCTATCACGTGCGGTGACCCACCCGGAATAGCGGCGCCAAGCTGCCGTCTCCAGAGCACGCTCGCTGACTGGCTCGCTGGAAAGAGCTGAGACAGCTGGGTCCGCAGCGGGAGGAGCTTGCAGCAGCCAAACAGACAAACAGACGCTGCACGGCGACTACGGCCTGAAATAATTTACATTTTGCACAACGGCGTCTCCACAGGACGCGATTCCAACCTCAACCTGCACTACAGCTCCCATCCCAGCCTTGACGTAAATGTAGCCCCGAACACCGGGCGCAGCAACATGTCGGACGCCGATTTCGAGCAGATCAAGAAGCTGCAGCAGGAGCGGAATGCTGCAGCCGCCACCAAGAAGGGCTCCAAAACGTTCGACCCGGCCAGCCAGCGCGCCGACTCGTCCACCAAAATCAAGCTGAGCGAGGCCTCGGACACCAGCCTGTACGACCGCGCAGACGGCGCCGACAAGTTTGCTGGCTACCACACCACCCTGCCTGCCAATGATGGCGACGACGACGACGACATGGCCGACGCCGGCGGCCGGAGCCTCGTCGGCCAGTACACGGCCACGCGCGCCCAGATCGACGAGTTCGCCCGCGGCTCGGGCGTCGAGGAGGAAGACATACTTGCCGGCCGCGGCGAGCGCAGCAACAGGATCACCGACAGGGAGACGGACTACCAGAAGCGCCGCTTCGACCGCGCTCTCACCCCGACACGGGCCGACCCTTTCGCGGCCGGCCGCCAGGCTGGCGCTGCCGAAGGCAACAGCTACCGCAAGGTGATGGAGGAGCGCGAGATTGAGCGGGAAGAGGAGCGCGTCAGGCGGGCCATCGAGACCAAGGCGAAGGACGCGACCGATGGCGACGATACCGTCATGGAGGATCACCGCCCCCTCCTGAAAGACTCCGAGGGCGACAGGGAGGACGGCTCAGCGGATGGCGCGGCCGGCCGCAAGCGCAAAAAGAGGTGGGACGTGTCGTCGGAAGAGACGGTGGCGCCCCCGCCGGCCCCCGAGGCGGCCAAGCCCAAGCGCTCCAGGTGGGATCAAGCACCTGCTCCAGCAGCGCCGGGTGCCGCCGACACGACGAAGAAGAGGTCGCGCTGGGACCAGGCGCCTTCGGCCACGCCAGTCGGGCCCCAGGGCCTGGCGACCCCCATCCACCCATCGGCGGCTGGCGCAGACCTTCCCGTCGGCTTTGGCCCGGATATGCACCGCGCCATCATGGTGCTGAGCGACGAGGAGTTGGACGCGATGCTGCCCGGCCCCGAGGAGGGATACAAGATCCTGGAGCCCCCGCCGGGCTACGCCCCCGTCCGCGCGCCGGCACACAAGCTCATGCAGACTCCGGCGCCGGCTACAGGCTTTGTGATGCAGGACCCCAACAGCGGACGAGTGTCGAGCCAACAGATGCCAAAGGAGATCCCGGGGGTTGGGGACCTGCAGTTCTTCAAGCCTGAGGACATGGCCTACTTTGGAAAGCTGACGGATGGCACAAACGAGGAATCGCTTTCGGTCGAGGAGCTCAAGGAGCGCAAGATCATGAGGCTGCTGCTCAAGGTCAAGAACGGCACACCGCCGATGCGAAAGACGGCGCTGAGGCAGTTGACGGATAACGCCCGCAACTTTGGCGCGGGACCTCTCTTCAACCAGATCCTGCCGCTCCTCATGGAGAAGACGCTGGAGGACCAGGAGCGCCATCTGTTGGTCAAGGTCATCGACAGGATTCTCTACAAACTGGACGACATGGTCAGGCCATATGTGCACAAGATTCTCGTGGTCATCGAGCCGCTCCTGATCGACCAAGACTACTACGCGCGGGTGGAGGGCCGCGAGATCATCTCGAACCTCGCCAAGGCGGCGGGGCTGGCGACCATGATCAGCACCATGAGGCCCGACATCGACCACGTGGACGAGTACGTGCGCAACACGACGGCGCGAGCGTTCGCTGTGGTGGCGTCGGCGCTGGGCATCCCGGCGCTGCTGCCGTTCCTGCAGGCGGTGTGCCGCAGCAAGAAGTCGTGGCAGGCGCGGCACACGGGAGTCAAGATTGTGCAGCAGATCCCCATCCTCATGGGCTGCGCGGTGCTGCCGCACCTCAAGAGGCTGGTGGACTGCATCGGGCCCAACCTCAACGACGAGCAGACAAAGGTGCGGACGGTGACGAGTCTGGCCATCGCGGCGCTCGCCGAGGCGGCCAACCCGTACGGTATCGAGAGCTTCGACGACATCCTGAACCCGCTGTGGACGGGTGCGCGCAAGCAGCGGGGCAAGGGCCTGGCCGGGTTCCTCAAGGCGGTGGGGTACATCATCCCGCTCATGGACGAGGAGTACGCAAACTACTACACCAGCCAGATCATGGAGATCCTGCTGCGCGAGTTCTCGTCGCCCGACGAGGAGATGAAGAAGGTGGTGCTCAAGGTGGTGTCGCAGTGCGCAGGCACTGAGGGCGTGACGGCGGGCTACCTCAAGGAGCACGTGCTGGACGAGTTCTTCAAGAGCTTCTGGGTGCGGCGCATGGCGCTCGATAAGCGCAACTACCGGCAGGTGGTGGAAACGACGGTGGACATTGGGCAAAAGGTCGGGGCGGGCGAGATCCTGGAGCGCATCGTGGTCAACCTCAAGGACGAGAGCGAGCCGTACCGCAAGATGACGGTCGAGACGGTGGAGAAGATCGTGGCCAGCCTCGGGGCGGCCGACGTGGGCGAGCGGCTGGAGGAGCGGCTCATCGACGGTATCCTGCACGCGTTCCAAGAGCAGAGCGTCGAGGACATCATCATGCTCAACGGGTTCGGGTCCGTGGTCAACGCGCTGGGGACGCGGTGCAAGCCGTACCTGCCGCAGATCGTGAGCACGATCCTGTGGCGGCTCAACAACAAGTCGGCGACGGTGCGGCAGCAGGCGGCGGACCTGATCTCGCGCATCGCCATGGTGATGAAGCAGTGCGGCGAGGACGCGCTGATGGGCAAGCTGGGTGTGGTGCTGTACGAGTACCTGGGCGAGGAGTACCCCGAGGTGCTGGGCTCGATCCTGGGGGCGCTGCGGTCCATCGTGACGGTAGTGGGCATCAGCCAGATGCAGCCGCCCATCAAGGACCTGCTGCCGCGGCTGACGCCCATCCTGCGCAACCGGCACGAGAAGGTGCAAGAGAACACCATCGACCTGGTGGGCCGCATCGCTGACCGCGGGCCCGAGTCAGTCAACGCGCGCGAGTGGATGCGCATCTGCTTTGAGCTGTTAGACATGCTCAAAGCGCACAAGAAGGGTATCCGGCGGGCGGCGAACAACACGTTTGGCTTCATCGCCAAGGCCATCGGCCCGCAGGATGTGCTGGCCACGCTGCTCAACAACCTGCGGGTGCAGGAGCGGCAGAGCCGCGTCAACACGGCCGTGGCTATCGGCATCATCGCCGAGACGTGCGCGCCCTTTACTGTGCTGCCGGCGCTCATGAACGAGTACCGCGTGCCCGAGCTCAACGTGCAGAACGGCGTGCTCAAGTCGCTGAGCTTTATGTTCGAGTACATTGGCGAGATGGCCAAGGACTACGTCTACGCCGTCACGCCGCTGCTCGAGGACGCGCTCATCGACCGCGACCAGGTGCACCGGCAGACGGCGGCGTCGGTGGTCAAGCACATCGCGCTCGGCGTCGTGGGTCTCGGGTGCGAGGACGCAATGGTGCACCTGCTCAACCTTCTGTACCCCAACCTGTTCGAGACGAGCCCGCACGTCATCGACCGCATCATCGAGGCCATCGAGGCCATCCGCATGGCTGTGGGGCCGGGCCTGGTGCTCAACTACGTCTGGGCTGGCCTGTTCCACCCGGCCCGCAAGGTCCGGACGCCCTACTGGCGCTTGTACAACGACGCCTACGTGCAGGGCGCCGACGCCATGGTGCCCTACTACCCGAACCTGGAGGAGGACGGGCTCGACAGGGGGGAGCTGGGCATCATACTGTGATGGGTTACGGGATGACGGGAGGAAGGGAGGGGAGGGGTGGTATGTGTTGATTCCACTATTCTTTGCTTTTTTTTTTCGATACTTTGTTAAACGGGCTTGGTCATGGAGTTTGCATTTTCGTTTCTCTTTTTCCGTCATATTCTATACCTCCCCCTTGTCTCTGTCTTTATGTAAAACCCGTTCTGTACCAATTGAAATGGAAGAGGGATGGTGGTACATAGATGCGGCCGCCTGCCATTAGATAGCGTGTAATATGCATTTGGACGGTGGGTTGCACGTTTCATGAGCGTATAAGCGGCAGCATGCCAAAGGTGACGACGCATACACAGTTACACACAGTCACAAACAGTCTCCCTCTCCGTATTGCCACAGTAAACGCTTCTCTCAAGGTGAATTCAGGGGCCAGCTTATGCCATCCGACACTGAGGACAACGGGACCGAAGTGGGGCGCATACAAGATACGTACAACGCCTGCTGCCTGGAGCCTGGAGCCTGGATATAGGTAGGCAGCGAGAGAGCTTCCAGGAGACTGCATTCTGTCCCAACTCTTCCTCCCCACAAACCACCAGCCATGGCCACCACCAACACACGCCTGTCGTACATACCGCTCGAGTCCAACCCGGACGTCTTCACGTCCCTGGCCCGCCGCCTCGGGCTCCCGGACCGGCTGGCCTTCCACGACGTGCTGTCGCTGGCGGAACCAGACCTGCTGGCCCTGGTGCCGCGGCCCGCCCGCGCTCTCGTGCTCGCCTTCCCGGCCCCCGAAGCCAACTACGAGCGGCGCGTCAGGGACCGGGAGGAGGGGCGGCCCGCCCACGACAAGACGGGCGACGCCGAGGACGTTGTCTGGTTCCGCCAGACCATCTACAACGCCTGCGGGCTGTACGCGCTGCTGCACGCCGTCGCCAACGGGGCAGGCGATGAGATAGGTTGGTGGTGGCGGTTACATTTCCTTTTTCAGTGTCGGGTTATCGTGTGTTGGAGCCCGCGAGTAGCTACGGGGGGCTGATCGTCGTGGTGGGGGGTGAACAAACCAAAAAAACCAGCCCCGGACTCGGTCCTGTCCCGCCTGCTGGCCAAGATCAGACCCCTGGCCGTCGAGCCGCGCGCGCGCGCCCTCGAGGCCGACGCCGACGTGGCGGCCGCGC